ACTCGTATTTGCTTAGCCTTATCGGCCTCGCACAGATACAGGCACACACACACACACACCTCGTCGGTCCTGGCAACGAAGTTTTTTTTTTTTTTGACTTCCCCGCTGTTGCCAAGAGCCGCCCGGGTTACCCCCAAGTCTGGTCTCACGTCTGAGGTTCGGGCTCGCGGGGTCTGTAACTGGTAAATAAAATGCAAAACGCTAAACAAGAAAAAATATACAAAGACCCCTAGCACTGGCCTGGCATCTACATAATCCCCAAGCGATCAATAAAGCAGAGCAGCTTCTCTTCTGCAATTAGTGGGCTATATCATTCATCACAAACGAGAGAGACAGATCATAATGATGCTATAATGATGCCTGGGAGTGTGCCGCATCCTTCATTAACTTTATTATCATGATGCAGAGTGTGTTTTAAACTTAAATTTATTATAGAAAGAAAATATTTTGTTACTGCAATGTTTTTAAGTTATAAAAGCCCAAAGATTTCTGTCTTAGAGGTATTTAAACTATAGTTTTAGGCCATATACATTTAATGATCCTGACTTGTTTCATTAATTATGACTGACCGTTGCAATAACTATTGATACCTTAATAATAACATAATTTTCATACCCTTCCAGGGTATTATAATTTTAATCAGTAGCTTGTTACGCCATGAATATATCGTTTCCGACCCTATAAATCACATATATATTTGTGATCAGCATCAAAAGCCGAGTAAATCTAGCCATCTTTGGCAGAAAAACAAAATTGAAAATTTTTGAAAATTCTATAAGGTTATAATGGTTAAATTTATCAAAAATCCACAAAATGTTGATTATTTAAAATATTAAATTGAGTACGTAGATTTTTAAAGCTAATACAAATTAGCAAGGAAATAAAATTAATGCTTTTTTGGCTTAGCTATGAGATTCTTAAAATTTATAATTAAATAGAATGGTAAACTTTTAATTTAAAGGAAGATTTCTGCAACTCAAATTATTTGTTGATTAATTCAACAATACAAGTAATTATTTAAGCATAAAACCGTATAAAATCAGGAAAAATCATCATCATTGTTACTGACTTGTACAAAATTTTCCGCCGTTGCCTCGTTCCGTGCAAGTTTAAGTGTTTTAAGTCTGTCAAATCATAAAAGAATATTCATAAATTTGTTTACTGCAATCCACTTCCTCTAATCTATGCTAGAAATTGCTGAGCTCTCCAGCTTACTGGCGGAATAAATCCCATACATAACCCTGTGTTAGAAATCGCAACTAATGGGTTAGGTTTAGGCCATTAGCCAACATCGTTATAGGGTTTTATTTTTTCTGGTGGCTTAAGCCAATAAAGGCAGCTTGCTGACCATGGCCTGGACTTGGACGTTGATATTCTGACTTACTCTAAGCATTGGACTTGAACTCCGTACTCGAGACTGGATGTGACTTGCGCCACAATGTCATTAATTTTGCTCGTTGCCAGTTTACTGTCTGCTCCTTTTGCCCACTCAGATGGCAACTAGTTTCTTTTTTTTTGTTCCCCTTTGACGCTTCTCTTCTTTAGAAAAGCCACTTGTCCAGGATTACACTGGGGAAAATCAGGAATATTAGTTTCGGAATTTAATCAAGGTTAATGTGGCCAAGATTGAACTTAATCTATTGGATTAAAGGGGAAAATATAAAAGGTATTAATATTATAGAAAGATTTCTTGAACTAAAATTTAAAATAATTTATAAATATATTTGTATAATTGATTTCGAACCTAATTTAAACACTATAACTATATTTTTTCAGTACAAAAGTAGTTAGAGAAGACTCTCATCTCCTTCATTGCTGCGCGCAACACAATTTTCTTTTTTGCCCCAACTTGACTCGCTTTTTAGCCTTTGCCACCATGAAAATCTTGGTGTGTAACTGAATGTGTGTCTGTGTGGGTGAGCCAACAAAGACACGCTCCAATCTCCACTGTACAGTGTGCACTTTACCATCACCCCAACATTTCCCACCCACTGAACAAACGCAACCTCTCCGAACCCTGTCTTTAATTTTATTTGATTTTAACTCTGTAACTTGTTTGTTTAGGATTCTGTTGTTTGGGTGTTTATATTTTTCGGATCCTTTTCAGCTGTCTGTGACTCAACACGCCCCCTTTTCCGAGCTTTTCCGCTTTTCCCTGTTGCCTGTGAACTTCAATTTCCCGGGAATTGTTTAGTCATAGGAAGTTTCCATAGATTCCATTACAAAAAGCTAATCAAAATGACATTTATCTGATCGGGGCAAAAGGAAAATCTCTTTCAATTTACTTTTGTTTTTTTTTCCTAGCAAAGAGTTTGCTGATAAAAAAAAGGGTTCCTTGAATAATTTTACAAAAGGCAAGACAAACATTTTCATCATTTATAAAGCAATGCCTTGACAGGTGACAATTTTTCAATGATTTGGGTTCAACTCACAGAGGAGGAAGGTGTGTTATCTTTATGTTAACATTATCTTTATAGAGATCTTTAAGCATACAAATGTAATACTTAAGGATACTTTTTACGACTCCTTAAGAGTTTTTCTCAACTTTAAGGATAAGTAAGAGAACTGAAAACTTATTCATACTTTAAGTATTTCCTTCAGATTTCCTCTGGCTAAACTTCAACTGCTTAGAACTGCTCTTGAAACTAATTTGGCCATCCGTTTTCCTTGAATTTGGTCCATAACATACTTTTCCAACTTTCATATCTCTGGCAGAACTTTTTCCCGATGCCCGGCTGCTGCTGTTGCTGTGGAAAGTTTTTTGCGAAAACTTGTCAAAGTTTTTAGTGGAGTTTCATTACTCATCCGGTATCATCTGTCCTCCGTTTCCCGTTCCCGTTTCCGTTCCGTTTTGAGGTTTTCCCTTTAGGCTGTCGACACGTTTTTTGACACATCCCCCCACCCATTTTTCCGGCCTCTTGCCACCATTTTCCTCACATTTCAGTTGAAGCTTAACCTGTGCAACACATGTTATCCTGTCACCCCCACAACTCTGCCTCGTTTACCTTTTGTATTTTGTCACAAGGCGACAAAAGGGTTTTTTGAATAATTATCAGAGACATTTAATAATATTCTCAAACAAATTAACTAAACTTGGGAAAGCAGATAAAGTTTGTGTTTTGGGGAGAAAATATTTGATAAACTGAGGCATAGGTTGCCTTTCGGCAATTAAAGATTTAATATATTATTACCCTTGCAAGAATATTATAATTATAATTATAAATATAATTTTAGTCATATAAAAGCTCTCTGAATTAACATTAATAAGCTGTTATGATCAATGTTATTCTGTTATTCGATGCCCAATTCAACTTCTTTCCTACATTTCTATATATTTTTGATAAATCTTATTTCTTTACTGTGCAGTTTTAAGGACAATACAGAAAAGTCCCCTTTTCAGACCCTAAATAACAAAGGATAACCAAAGACAACTATTCCTTCTGTATATATATCCCTACGTTGATATAATAATCTCGCAATTCAATTTGCATGACAATCGAAGCTCATTGCGAATGCAGAAACTTGATACCTTGAAACTTTTCAATTATTTAAGGATTTTTATAAGGGGAAAACGTTATACTAGGAAGGAAGGAAGCTCCTTAAATGGCGGACACCTAAAAATAGCCCAAGAAAATTGCCATGGAAAAAAAGTGCAAAGAAAAGAAGAGGAAATCCTCGTACGCACAAACAGTGTGTACCAATACAAAGGAAAAGGAAAAAATTCCACTCTGTTGAATGTACATACACATACATACACACACCAGCGGGATATAAAAATGTTAATAGTTGGCCTGTTGAACAAGAAAAAGCAACAGCGGCAGCGCGGTCGCCGTTAGCAGAGCGGCGTCAGCGCAGCATCACCGGTAAAGTGCAAGAAGAAGAAGAGAAAGCATCATGGAGTAACTCTCTCTCTCTGTCCTCTCTTCGAAGCGCAAGCTCAGAGAGTCAAAACGGCGGATATTTAATTAAAGCTAGTCAAGCATAACAACTACGTCATATTTTTGCAGGAGCTAGAACGAGAGAGAGGGAGAGAGAGAGAGAGTTGGAGAGTTTGGTGGTGGAAAGAAGTTTCAGAGGAAGCTGGAGATGAAGCTTTTTAGAGAGAGAGATAGCATCAGCAGGGGCATTATGTTCAAGGAGAAGGGAGTAGGAGGAAAAGCGACTACGACAGGAGTCAAGTTCGCTGACTGTTGTGCTGCTCTCAGTCTCTCCCTTTCCCACACCAAATCGCCTAACCACCCACACGAACGGAACTATAATACATACATACCTACGCAAAATTTGCAACAACTAGAAACGGTACAGTGGGTGGGTTAGAAAAATAGGGAAAGTACTCAAATATAAAATCTTTTTAAAGAATTTATAGAAAGCGAAGTACTTTAATTTTTGTAATGATAAGAGATCCAAAATTATTTAAATATTTTTATTTGTAATAGATTTTTCAAGAAAACAACCACTGTGCGCTCCTCTTTCTAGCCGCAAACGAGTATAACTCTCCCTACTTTCCTCTTATCATATCCTTCGCTTCTATTCCCTATTCGTTGTTTTTTTTTTACCGCCAAAGCTTAAAAGCGACTGCGCAAAACGAGTGACGAAAGAGGAGCCGAGAGGATAACCGAACGAAACCATGACCATGCCAAAGGATGAAATATTAATGCAAAAAGGACGACAAAAATAGTTGACGCCGCTCTTGTTCTTGTTCTCTCCCTGTTCTGTACACCAACAAATTTTGTGAATTTCAGCATCCCCATGTGCTTTTCATTCTGCATTGTGTTGGGAAGTGGTGTGTGTGTGTGTGTGTGTGTGTGTGCGTGCGTAAATGTGAATGACAGCGGGGAACATTGTGGAATCGTGAAACACAAAATTAGACAGGATCCACAGTCCACAGCATTCCTTGTGTTTGTATTAGTCTTTGTTTTCCTTTTTTTTCTTAGTTTATTTTAATCCTTTCTGCAAACTCTTTACTAATTGCCATGTTTTTGTTTTCCGCTTTTCCACAGATATGCACAAGGTGCCGACAGCCCCGCGAGTATTCGGCGGCAGATGACAAGGACAACGCACATGGCGGCAGGAATACAGCAGCAGGAGCAGCAGCAGCAGGGATACGGATACAGGAAGCGGCGGCCAACAGGATATTGAGCCATCAACACTAGCCAACAAAGCAAACGGCAACGGTAACAGCAGCAGCCCGAGGGAATACAACCCACTGTGAACAAAAGGACAAGCCCCACAAATGGCCTCCACGGTAGTGGGATCGGGAATGGCAACGGGAACGGGAACGGTAACGGGAACTGGTCCTGCTGTAGCCACCAGGGAGTTTGTCGAGGGATGGACCCTGGCCCAAACTCTAGGCGAAGGAGCCTACGGCGAGTGAGTTTAATGTTTTATTTCATCATCTTCTCTTTGTTTAAAAAACAAAACAGAAATAGTAGAATTTCATCAGTTTTAGAATATTTTTGAATTCTTGTAATAGAAATATAGAAAAATCAGATAGATCAGAGATAGGAGTTACTTAAATACTATAAAGAAAATAAAGACTGAATTAAATCCGAAAAATTTTAAAACTAACTAAGAAATGTAAAAAAATTAGTTCTATTTGTCATATATATCCTTTAAAATTGTTTGTATATTTTTCTTAAATTGCATTTCAATTTCGAATGAATTTCCTCATAGGCTTAAAATATATTTAAAAAGAAATTATAAATATTCAAATGTATCCTTGATAATAATTTAAGTATCTTCAAAAACTTAAAATTCACAAATTCCTGACGCTTTTTAACATGATTTAAAAGGGAAATGTAATAATTAATAGCAAGAGAAGCCTTACTAAACTTATCTATCTTCTAAGTTGTATAAATATATAAAAAATGAAGGTCCTTTTATCATTATTTCAAGTCAGACTTTGCAAATCTCGTATACGTCCGTGAGTTTTGCCGTATGCCTGCGTGTGTGTGTGTGTGTGTGCGTTGAAGTCAATAAACCGGAAATGCTGCAAAAGAGCAAAAAACAAAAAAATACAGAAGCCGTAACTGAAACGCACTTTTCCGGCGTATTCGCCTGTATACATTCATCCCGCAAAACTCCCGCTCAGTGTCCGCTTTTTTAAGGCGCTCCTCCAGTGCGCATGTCCCCGGTGTCCGGATCCGGGAAATTCGAGGAATAAGGGAGCATACGGCAGACTCAATGCACCCGGACCCGGAGAGCAGTCGATACACAGACACCAAAGTTGTTGCAACTGCATTCTGCAGTCATCATCTATCGCGTTCGAATACAAAGAAAATCTAAATTCTAATTTCCTTACTAATCCTTCGAATCCTTCGATGCAGGGTGAAGCTGCTAATCAATCGTCAGACCGGGGAGGCTGTGGCCATGAAAATGGTGGATCTAAAGAAGCATCCGGATGCAGCCACATCGGTACGCAAGGAGGTGTGCATACAGAAGATGCTCCAGGATACGCATATCCTGCGATTCTTTGGCAAACGCTCGCAGGGCAGCGTTGAGTACATTTTTCTGGAATACGCCGCCGGCGGAGAACTATTCGATCGAATCGGTGAGTGTTATATACATATATGTATAGTATATCGTGATATGAATTTAATTTATGTGCTGGAGATAGATTCAGGAAAATAGAAGGGAAGATGTTTTTGTAGAAATTTATTAGTTTATGTTTTGGGTAATAAATCATCATTATTAGGGTTCATTAGATTAAGGTTTTATTTATTAGTGTGCTGGTACATTTTTCTATGTTTTTGGTCGAAATATTTTATAAATATTTTTTTTATACATTTTAAACTTATTCAATATGTTTAACAAACAGTACTTAATATGCATTTAAAAAAGCGTATAAATCCTAGTTTGAAGCTCTTAGGGATGTCTCGTAACTTGAAGATTACTTTAACTAATATTTTACTTAGGAATGTATATCTAAAGTGGTAATACTTTCAAGTCGTTCAACCTCTTGTGGAACTCCTTATCAAAAACAAAATACTTTCAGGCAACTACCTAAGTTTATAAACCCCTTAACTTTACCATAAGCCGAATCCTGATTAAAATTCACCAAGATGTTGGCAAAGTCTCATGACTTATTTAAACTTCAATTACAGTTTATAGCAGGTTCTGAAAAGAATACTAAATGTCTGAGTCTTATGAAAAGAAGTTAATAATAATATATTCAATGCATCCTTAATTTAAACTATAATTTCACAAATTTAAAACCTTATTTAGAGGTTTTAAAAAAAGGTACTTATTAGTATTATATCGTATATTAAAAGTATATTCGATGTATCCTCAATTTGTACTACAGTTTTACATAATTTAAAACCTATTAGGAGAGGATTGTGAAAAGATTCTATCTGTCTCTCAAATAGCCTCAAAATAAGCACTTTACAATATATTTGTAGCATTAATTGCCTTTTAACTATTCTACAAATTCTACAAATTCAAACTCCCTTTGAAGCATTTTTACTTTAAAATCCTATATAACTCCTGTGAATAAATATTTTTACTTTATAAATATGCGTCTTTAAACATTCTTATGTGTCAAAATATGATTTGATTAACCCTTATTATTATTATGACCTCTTTGTCGCGGCATTCCGACATCCAAAAACTCAAACACAGACGGGAACCCACTAAAAAATAAAAATGTGGAAGGAGCATAGTCGCAGGAGCAGCAGATGTCAGACCATATAGACGTCGGCCAGACGAGGCAAATATGCCAATATGTGCTGCCGGGATGTGGGATATGTGAACCCAGAGAAATGCCACAGACAGACAAGCTCCACTCTTGGGTTGTGTGGTGTCGTCCAGGAAAATCATCCAACGAAACGAAATGGAACAAGGATTCTCCTAGAGGAGCAGCAGGGAGCAGTAAGAGGGGAGGAACAAAATCAGACCGACAAGTTAGATACGGGATCTTGATTACGCCAGTTTTCTGTCACTTGCAATGACAATTTGCCAACTGTCCCGGGAAGGGAAATTGGAAATGGAAAAGTGTGGTGTGCCTGTGTGTGGTATGTAGGTGCCAAGTTCGTGGCATTTTCATAAATATTAACAGCTTGCCTGGCAAAAGGTCAAGGCGGAGGGTGTGGGGGGAGAACAGCGAGATTTTCCCCTAATGGAAGTGGTGTCCTTGCTTGATTGCCACCTCTGCCATGCTACTCATTTCCTTGGAGTTTCTCTCCCCCTCCCCCACTGATTTCGCCTATTCCCAATCATCATCATCATTATCACTATTGGCTCTCTCGTCCACCAGTTTGCTCCTCCTCCGCGGGGCATGTGTTGCATGAACACGAGCTGCTGTAATAATCAATGTGGCAGCCATATTTAGTCCCCAGTTTGCTAAGCCATTTTTAATGATATCTAGGGATGTGACTGCCATGGAGTGATGGGTATGAGAGATTTAGTTTATGGGTTAGTTATATTAAGTATTGAAAAGATATAATAGTTATAAGATCAGTTCTAGTGAGGCTCTAAAGTAATCTATATAATGTGGCATTTTACAAAAGAATCGTATACTTTTCGAGGAATTTTAAATGAATTTTATAGGAAATAAACTTTTTAATATAGTTATTTACTTATCTTGAAAATATAACAATAAAACTTAAAACACACTATGATTGTTTTGTTTTCTATTTAAATGCTTACTTTTCGAAAAACAATCACATTTTTAATATATTTGTATCATTCATGCTTAAAATCTAATAATTAAAACTTAAAATACACAAAGAATTTCATTTCATTTCTGGCTTGATAAATGGCATGGAATCAAATTTATAATCATTTATTCAACAAAGTATACTTAAAATTAAAATACTTTAAATAAACCTATTCTTTTATCAAATTATTTTTTTAAGGAATATACTTTTATTCACACCTCATTTATTATAATTACTCTGTATGCACCGTTTTAATTGTTCAAGTAAAATCATTTCCATTTATTGAAATTTGATAAATGTCTGACAATCAGTTTGCTGACTGTTTGTTCGTTAAGTTGATTAAATACTTAATGACAGCTGAATTGTATTTATTTGGTAAACTGATAACTATAACTATTATTAATTATTATAATGACAGACAGTGACTTTCTGGTTACCTTTTACCTTGAATAATCCTCATTTATTATATCAACACCCAGAGAGGTCACAAGTTGAAATCACGTTGCCATCTCTCAGTGATTTTAGCAACTGTGATAGCTCCATGAAAATCCTGGGGAAATGTAGGAAATTGTGCAGGAGAAAAGGATAGAGAGAGAGACAGAGGAGTGGGATGCCATAAATAGGTTCAATATGCAAATGAAACATAATGGAGCCCCGCACTCATGTCCTGTGTGTGTGAGTTTAATTGTCTGTTTGCCTCGAAATGCATTCATTAAGCTTATACGACGAAAAGGACGAGGATTTCCCAGCTTCCCCTCTACTGAAATCATGATGGCTTATACATTGATTCCCCCCTCACTCTTTTGGGGCTTCGATATAAATTATGCTTCAATTACAAATGAAATTTTCGAGTAATTTCCCTCATTTCCATAGCCTTGCATGTACATATATTTTACCATTATTAAGTGCTTTCTCTCTTTCTACCATGAGCTCTGTGTGAAATGCAATTAATATGCTAAAATGTTACTGACATGCTTGCTGCATTTTTATTGCTTTCATCTCCGAGGGTGTCTTTATATCGCGGCTTTATATTTATGCAAAGCTGCATCCTTGCACAGTTTTTATTTGCTCAACTCGAGTTTAAAGTCTGTCAATATTTAATTTTATTAAATGTATTATATTTAAACTGAAAGAAAAAGCACTGGAAAATGGGAAGTATTTGTTAATTTTGAGAGGTAGATTATATGGATTAAGTAGATATTTCTTAATTAAGGATCTGAAATGAATGAATAAATGAATCGTGGATTTAACACAGCAGAGTCACAGTAATTAGTGTATTTAAAATAAATTAAAAAGGGATTTCAAAAGATTGGAATTAAATATGTCTTTTGTAAGCTCTGCTTTTGTGCCCCTCTTTAAGAGTTTTTAAATCTCTTCCTTACTTGCTTTTACCCTGCTATCCCAGGTATAATCTTTTTTAAAATTAAGGAAATTATATATTTAAATATTTAAATATCCCTACTTTTCCCTCAGTGAAGGATGCACTTGCACCTCCATTTAATTTCATCAATTTCAAAAAGTGTTGTGCAAATGGCCACCAGCCACCAGCAACATGCCACATGATAAATGAATGGCAAACAATGTGGCACACACACACACACACGCACACACACTCGAAATGAGAGGCGACAGATGGGGCTCTTACCCATAGATGTGGGCGTGGCACACTTTATCCCCAACTTTATCTGTCGCACAGTCAACTTTTAAGGCCTTTACAAATTGAGAGTGACAAGAAGCCAACGGGGAGGACATAAACAAAAAAATGGAGAAAAGAAAATATTTAAAAGTGCTCTCAGGAGGAAATTTGTTAAATTTTATTTAAAAGAATTTATAGAAATTGAAGGAGTTTTACCAGAAGGATAAGCTTTTTGTTTAATTTTCTTAGCCAATTGGTTGGAGTGCTAAGGAAAGGTATTTAAGTTGAGATTTTAAGTGCAAACCATTGAATTATTTAATTAAAAAGACTTTTAGGTTTAGCATTTTGAAATTAAGAATAAAATAGATAAGTAAAGGTAATAATGTGAAGTAAATGTAAAATAATAATATAAAGCGACTTAAATAGTTAGAAAAATGGGAGGTTTTTTTAAAATGAAAGATGTAACAATGTTTTTTTTTTCTTGCTTGCCTAGAAAGTGCATTCAAATAAAAATATTAATAAAATACACAACAAGATAAGAACTTAATCATACTAAGAAAATATAGTTACTCAAGAAATGTAACCTCTACCTCTATGAATTTAATTATTTTCTCGATGCATTTTCCGTCTGGAAAACCTTTAAATTTATTCAATCAATTGTCAAAGTTGCCAAAGACTCAATGCTAATTTCTAAACATTATTTGTTACCTTTAGTTTTTATTTTTGACTGTTCGGCCAGGAAGTTGTTGCAGCAAGAAAGTCAAAAGCAGAAACCAGTGAACAGCAAAAGGAAAATCAATAGATGATAAGGAAAGGCCAGAAGATGAGTGAGAGGAAATGGGTTGACGTTTGATCCCTTAACTGCCAGATGCTGTGCCTGACTTTGACAGTCAATCAACTGGAAGGCGATGGAAATTTAATCTGTCTAGCCTTTGGATCCTCCTGTTTTTAACCTCCTATATCCTTGTACCTGTATCCTTTGTTTCTTTACTTCGATCTGATTACCTCTGGCTGAAAATTACTTCAGTCAAGTCAAATTCAGAGTTTTTCCCTTACTTGAAAGGTTATAATTGTAACTAACAGTAGTTTAACATTAGTTTACTAGTTTTGAACCTAATAAACAATTTAAATCCTAAAACTTAAAGGATCATATAGTAATCCTAAGGAAAGTAAACTAATTGAGAGCGAAGGGTGACAGAAACCAACAGGTTGACATTCGCTGTGTCGTTGTTAGAGCTAGATTAAAATTTCATAAAACTGTTGATTACATTTTTTGTTTGTGTTACTATTTCTGTTATTGTTTCATGCAACCGGTCCTGTTGCACGACCCAACTAAAACCCATAAATCCTTTACACCGACACACAACACAATGCATTGCATTGCATTTGTTTTTCCACCTTCCCGTGGTTGGTTTTTTGCTCCACTGCACATTTTTCCATTTTCCATGCGTTTGTGCACCGGTCCACAGGGAAATATCCGTTAAGGAAATAAAAATATAAATGGGAAGCGACATAAATTGCATTCCTGAAAACGTGTCACAAATTCTTATTTAATTTCCGCATTTATATCTTTTGTTATTTTTATAAATCAATAAATTAATTGATTATTTGAAATATTTTCAATTTTTATCTTGCAGAGCCCGATGTTGGAATGCCACAGCATGAGGCACAGCGTTATTTCACGCAACTTTTGTCTGGTTTAAACTATTTGCATCAACGGGGCATCGCTCATCGGGACTTAAAGCCGGAAAATCTGCTGCTGGACGAGCATGACAATGTGAAGATCTCTGATTTTGGCATGGCCACCATGTTTAGGTATTAGGTACAACGAAAATTCTCTAGTTTTATTCGAATCCATTTTTTTTATACTTTGTAAAAGGTTTAAATTACCAACTAATTCAATTATAAACTAGTAACTTCTTGTACACATATTTGGTAACTTTTAAAATCCATTAACGCTGTGGCTAAACCGCTGGCTAAAACTTCTTCAGCGAAAACTGTCCAACAAGCGGAATTGTTAATTGAAAGCGTCGCTTGAGGCCACATAAAACACAGCTTAACTGAACCAGACAGTGTTTAGTTTTCAACTAAGCTGCAAACTCATTAAAGTTTCCATTTACAGAGAGTTTAATATATAATTACACATAAGGAATTAAAGAAACTTCAAGTTTATAGTGAATTTTGTGACATAAATAGGCTAAACTTATTATTGTTTATTTTAAAATGCATTATAATTTTAGTCGAAAGCTTGTTACGTTATGAAGGAGTCATTTCCGACCCTATAAATCGTATAAATTATTGATCAGCATCAACAGCAGCGTCGATCTAGCCCATCTCAGGCAGAACCAAATTTTTTAAATTTTATTTTGAAAATTTTATAAGGGCTTACATCATTTTAATTTTGAAAAATTGTAATATTTTAAAATCTATAATAGTGTATGCAGATTGTAGCTTATAAATTGCATAGAACATCTATCCGAATTAACATTATTTCATATTTGTATTAGTTATGCTTTTTTAAAGCTTTGATTTTTCGATAAAATTGTCATATAAAATATTGATAAATTCTACTCAAAGTCTGCGAATAGTTCAAGCTTAGTTATGATCGATTCCCGATTAGATTCTATAATTAAAATGCAAACTTCAAAGGTATATTAGCTTTTGCTTTTCGAAGTTCTCTAACTTCTGTTCTTAAGCTTTGATTTGTTTACCTACAAAAGGCATACATTTATTGATTAATTAAATAAAGAAAGGAAACATACAATACTCTTCTAAAATATTAAAATATGTTATTAAATTAAATCACAACATTAAATTGATTAAATTGATTCTGCTAATATTTTAAACAAAGTTACCTTAATTAGTGATAAATATCAACTCTTAGACCCTTATCTTCTCCTGTCTCATCTCTAATCAAAGTAGAAAGCTTTTTTAAATAATTCCAACTCTATTGTTTTCTTCTTTTCATGTTCTCAACACACTTACTCAATCTCTTCAATCTTCAATCATTTGTGGTCATTGGGAACAGATGCAAGGGCAAGGAGCGACTGCTGGACAAACGCTGTGGCACCCTGCCTTATGTGGCACCGGAGGTGCTCCAGAAATCGTATCATGCCCAGCCGGCGGATATATGGTCTTGTGGCGTTGTTTTGGTCACCATGTTGGCGGGTGGTAAGTGCTTATAAACCCAAAAAACTCGAGTGTTTTGTTTAATTTAATTTAATAGTCTTTAATAATTTAAGTGATTATTCGTGCACTCTCATGTAACAAAAAAGTGAAAGAAAATAAGAAACTTCAAAGACATCGCCTTGCATATAACGGAATCACCTGCATATAAATATATATTTTATAAATTCGCCGTTTCTTTATTATTTATTGTTATATTGGTTCTTTGCTCACATATATATATATAAATGTATATTTTTCTCCTCTCGCTCGCACTCTATTTTATCATTTTTGCTGTTTCTTTGGTATTCTAGCTGTAGATTGTTTCACACGCACATTGTATATCATCTAAAGCTTTTATACCAAAGCTCCAGCTTAAATTGCTTAAACAACGCACCAAGCCAACAAATAAAACGGAATGATCAAGTTTTAATTTCTATATATATTATAATTTATAAATATTTACTTGATTATGTATAATAATGTTTCGCGATCTCTTTAGAACTGCCCTGGGATCAGCCTTCAACTGCCTGCACAGAGTTTACCAACTGGAAGGATAATGATCACTGGCAAATGCAGACTCCTTGGAGCAAGTTAGACACCTTGGCTATATCCCTGCTACGCAAAGTCTTGGCCACCAGTCCTGGGACACGCCTAACTCTGGAAAGGATACTCGATCACAAGTGGTGCAACATGCAGTTTGCCGAGCATGGTAAAATATTAGTTAATTTAATCTATAAATATAATAATATTTATTTACAGTGAAGAAAAAGTGTGGTGTTTCAAGTGCTAATTTTAAAGTTGGAATTTCTAATGCCCACTTGATGATGGCTCAGGTACTTAGTGACTCTCAAATGTCTTTAAAATATTTTGAGAGTCTCTCTGTGCCTAGGCCATAAGTGAGGCAACTGCAACATATAATAACTATATAAATTCAATAAAATTAAAGTGTTTTAATGTGTTTTTAAGTCTTCAAGTGAAATCTGTGCTCTGCTCTGCCATTGCTTTGGCGCTTTAGCTGTATGATAGATTTTTACTACTTCATAAAGCTAGATTACCAAAGCATTGGCGGTCTGCAGGTTAAATCATCTAAATACAAAATAAAAGGTTATTATTATAGTTTATTAATTATATTATTTATTGTTGCTTATTGGTTGCTCATCTTTTTGTTTTGCATATTATTTGCTCTTTGGTGATTTTAGCTGTATGGTGATCTTTGAAATTTTCCATAGAGCTTGATTACCAAAAACCAAATGGTTTTTGCATTTATGGCTTGAGTTTATGTGTTTATTTTGTGCTTTTTTTTTGTTAATATTTAATTAGAAGCCAAGAGTATGAACCAGTCAACTAAATATACAAAATAAATGTGTTTCCCTAAACTATAATGTATCTCAAAGTATTCAAAAATGCTTTAACTCTACCTTTCATTTAAAACCCTAAACTAATCTTTATCTCTCTTTCTATTCCAAAACAGATCGTTCCTTTGACCTGGTTGATTCGGCGGCTGCTCTGGATATACGTTCGCCCAAGGCCAAGAGGCAGCGTTTGCATCGAGCGCCCATTTGAATAATGGTCTGGATGATTCCATCTCACGGAACTATTGCTCTCAGCCCATGCCCACCATGCGCACCGATGATGAGTTCGATGTGAGCTGCGCAGCGGTCGTACCAAGGCCAAGGATAATGGTGGCGATTGCCAGGATGTGGCCCAGGAGGCACGTCTGAGTTACTGCTTCTCACAGCCGGCTCTATTGGATGATCTCCTGCTGGCCACGCAAATGAATCAAACGCAGAGCAGCAGCGCCTCTCAGAACTATTTCCAGCGTTGGTGCGGAGGATGACACGGTTCTTTGTTACTACGCGATGGGATGATACCATCAAGAGATGGTGGGCACCATTGAAAGACTGGGCGGTTATACCTGCAAGGTTAGTGAGGATGGTGTGGTCACCGTGTCCACCATTGATAGGCATAACTACGACTGGTGTTCAAGGCGCATATTATCGAAATGGATGGCAAGATTCTTGTGGATTTCCGTCTATCCAAGGGCTGTGGTCTGGAGTTTAAGAGACGCTTCATCAAAATTAAGAATGCCTTGGAGGATATTGTGCTCAAGGGTCCCACTACATGGCCCATTGCGATTGCTACCAATTCGGTGCCTTAGTTGGTGACCTGCTCCTCCTTAATTTTCACTACTTTTACGTTTTGTCTTAACTTGTTAGAGTTACTCATTTATCCATCACCTACACTAAGCTTTATTTACCTTTCTCCATGTGCTAAATTTATCATTATCGAATGCATTATCTTATTACGTTTTGTACTTGTTCAGCGCAGACTCTCCTACGATTTTAGTTTTGTTGAATTTTAAAGCGAATGCAAAGTATTGACACTAGTTTAAAAGAAGTTATTAAACAATAAATCTAAAATGATTTTGATTGCAAATGTAACGTATTTTTATGTGTGGGAAGTGTGTGAAAAAAAAAACACAAATTAAGCAGAAGAGTGTAAACCCTTGCAGTTAGCCGTAGGAGCATGGTTCAAATTGAAATAGATCATAAATAATTCTAGATATATTAAATCAATATTTTGATACGCTAATTTTTCGGTAAATAACAATTTTCAACTATCATAACTTAGTCAAAATGCCTTAATTTCACTTCGGATAGCTTTTCTGTGCTAGTTTTTATAAGGTTAACAAATCTGTAAATTCAGATTCAATTTTAAATTTTATAAAATTTTTAAAAAAATTTAAATTTTAAATTTAAGCCTGATATTGCTAAATAGATTCAGCTTATTGTGCTGATCAAGAATATATAAGATTTATAGGTCGCAAACGACTCCTTCACTGCGTTTTAAGCTTCTGACTGAAATTAGAATACCTTGCGAAAGTATAAAATATGAACTGAGAATATTTAAAAATAGAGCAAATAATTCTCTAATTAATTAGTTTATTAGTTAATAGTTTCAAAATTAAAATATCAACGGAATTTATTTAAATGTATGCTTCGTTTTTATATAAACAAATTTAGACTGAAAAAACTAAAAAAATAACAATTCGAAAACGATCCATATTTTTCCAACAATCTGGCAACTCTTTAAGTAACGTCAAAAATTCAAAAACCATATATTTTTTTAATTTTTTTATTTTCACATCAACTAACAAATTGAATATTTGTACGCATTCTCAATGTATGTGTTATTTTGGTAAATATGTATATTTTCCAGTGGGGGATTTCTCGTCTATTATTAAAACTCAAAAACCGAAATTCGATGTTCATATTAAGAATTTTGTTGCAAAAATTCCGATCTCAAGAACTAGAATTAACTTTTAACCTTTACTGCAAGGAGTGTTTTCCAAGAGAATTACAGCAGCTAAGTTGGGGAAATTCATTTCGCAGACAGTTTTGTTGGTTTTTGTTTTTGTGTGTGTATTGTTTTGTTTATAAATAATGATTAGATCATGTTTAACATTAATAATAATGTCTAAATAACGAAGCATAAAGAGACAGCAAAACGGTATTGGTAATTTAATTCTGATTTCATTTGTGCGCCAGACACAAATGCCGAAAGTAAGGGAGGGGATGACGAACACTTGCACCGAATCGCTCCACTCCGGTCTATGCTTTTGTTGGATGGGAGTGGTGTCTTCTCTGCTGCTGCTGCTGCTACGTCCAGGTCCCGCTCTCCAGATCCAGATCTAGCAGCGGGTTGGATCACAGACGGCGCCTTCGGTGTGGTTGGGTTGGAATTTTGAAGTTGTCCACACGCTTACTGCGGCTTCCTGAAGCTCTTGCCGGCGAACTTGACACCAGCACCGATCTCCTCCTCGATGCGCAGAATCTGGTTGTATTTGGCCAGACGCTCCGAGCGGCAGGGAGCACCGGTCTTGATCTGTCCAGTGGACAGGCCAACGACCAAATCTCCAATGAAGAATCCTCAGTCTCGCCGGAACGGTGAGAGACCATGGTGCCCCAGCCGTTCTTCTTGGCCAGCAGATGGGCGGCAATGGATTCGGTGACGGTACCGATCTGGTTAACCTTCAGCAGCAGGCAGTTGCAGGCCTTCTTCTCCACAGCGGTGGCAATGCGCTTGGGATTGGTCACGGTCAGATCGTCGCCGACAATCTGGATGCTGGTGGCACCGGTCAGGTTGGTCCAGGCATCCCAGTGATCCTGATCGAAGGGATCCTCAATGGAGACAATGGGGAAGTCCTTGATGAACTCCTGGTACATATTGGCCAACTTGTCGGGCGACAGCCACTGGCCTTGTCGCTCTGGGGATTCTTGAAGTCCAGATCGTACTGACCATCCTTGAAGAACTCAGAGGCGCCACATCCATGCCGATCTCAATCTTGCCGGTGTAACCGGCCTTGGCAATGCATCACTGATCAGATTCAGGGCTCCTTGTTCGACTGAATGTTGGGAGCAAAGCCACCCTCATCACCCACAGCGGTGGCATCCAGACCGAACTTGGCCTTGATCACGTTCTTCAGATGATGGTACACCTCGGAGCCCATCTTCATGGCCTCGGTGAAGCTGGTGGCGCCGGTGGGCAGGATCATGAACTCCTGCATGGCCAGCTTGTTGCCAGCATGGCTACCGCCGTTGATCACATTGAAAGCGGGCACGGGCAGGATGATTTCCTTGTTGCCAGCCAGATCGGCAATGTGTTTGTACAGCGGCACATTCTTCTTGGCGGCACCGGCCTTGGCAACGGCCAGGGACACACCCAGGATGGCATTGGCACCGAACTTGCTCTTGTTCTCAGTACCATCCAGCTTCAGCATGAAGTTATCGATGGCAGCCTGATCCACCACATCCAGATTAGCCTTGATCAGCTCGGGGCCCAGGGTATCATTCACGTGACCGACAGCCTTAGCACGGACTTGCCATGATAGTTGGCCTTGTCGCCATCGCGCAGCTCCAGAGCCTCATGGACACCGGTGGAGGCACCCGAGGGAACGGCAGCACGGAAGAGTCCCAATTCGGTGGTCAGGTCGACCTCCACGGTGGGGTTGCCACGGGAATCGTAGATCTGACGGGCCTTGATTGCTTTGATGGTCATATTGTTGCTGTCACTGCAAAGAAAACCAAAGTCCAATGAAGGCATATTAATTAAATTCATATATTTTTTAATCGGTGAGGGTTTGGTGTTAAAAAAAAAAGCTGACCGCAGATAAGAAGTGTCATTATTGTTGATGCTCAACGAATCCAGATATTCCCGAAATTCCAGCCATTTCTTTAATTATTTATTTAATGCTATTAAGAGTTTAATGAAGCTTATTTAATAGTTATTAAGTATTGACAAAGCCCACTTGTTATAGGTATTTTTATCTAAATAAGAAATACTAGAAAAGGCTTTTTGGGGAATTATTTTAAATATATTGTTGAAATTTTTAGCTTCTAGAAGAAACTTAGACTCTGTTTACCACTCATAATTAGTGATAAATTATCATGGTTTTTAAAATTAGCTTGTGTTTTTTTAAAATAGGACAATTGATAAGAATTTAAATAATACATTTTATATAGAAATAACGTAATGTAAACTTTTCTTTAAGTAAAAAACTATATTTAATTTTCCCTCAACTTTTTCATATAAATTTATAATTAATTTAATATTGTTTCTTTTTTCAGCTTTGTATATATTAGTCCAGTTTTATATGAATAGATCAAAATAAAATTTTTATTATTTCAAAGTCATTTTAATAGAATAAGCAAAATTTTATCTTAATGATTAAAGAGATAAAAAGTTAATATATTCACAAATATGTATTATATTTTTTAATGAAAAAAAAAAAAAAACATTGAATAATCATTCATATGAATCATAATGTAAACAATAGATTTTATTGATTCATTCATATTTATTTTGTGAAAAAACTTCTTAGTAAACTGTTGAAATCTTAACTGACTTAAAATATAATTATTAATTTTACTAAAGATTATTTTCCTACAAAATAATTTAATCCAACAATAAACTAATAGTTTTAATTATTTCATCATTTAATAAAAATATTGCAATTTTAAAAGTTATGGTGTAAGAAAAAATTAGAAGATTTCTTGGTTTGCATTTGTTTTTTTTTCCATGGAACTTTCTCAAAGTCACCTCTTCGGTTTCTATATTTAATTTGTCTTCAGATTTCATTTAATTGTTTCTAAAATTATTTAGAGTCAGTGACACGGGCGGCATTTTCCACAAACGAAAATAGAATCGTTTTTCCCTATCTCAGTGGGAGCAAGTTTTCTCCGCAGTTTGGCGGTAAAGTGCAGTGTTGCTGCCGTTTTTGAGTTGATAATGCCAAAATGCACTCGCAAAAATCTAGATTTCAAGATCTTATGGATGGTCCTATTGGAATACCCGGCTTTGGCAAAAACTTAATTTTCCTCGATTTTTCATCCCTCAATATTTTTGCCTGGGAAAAGTGGTGGGGCAGGCACGTAGGGGCATTCTGCAGGAAGTGCACTTGTATTTTCAGCCGGAAAAGCTGTAAAATCAGTTTAGAAAGTATGCAAAAGTTGGCCGGTGCCGGCACAAAGTGATGCCAGATCGTAGACGTTTTAAATAATATTAGTTTCGTTTAAACCCTTTGCACAGCTCCATTTCCCTTCATTTGACTTTCTTCCTTCCCCTCAACCCCCTAGACCACCAGGAAAATGCGTGAAAAAGCCTCCCAAGCCTTCCGTATTTTTTGACCTTGTCCACGGTCACGGAGAGAGCTGCCGTACGTTTCGAGTCGCACTGCGAATGTATTGAGGCACACGCATTGGCACGATCCAAGTGTGTGTGTGTGTGTGTTGTTGTTAAATTGTTTAAAATATTGGCGAGCATTTCATTTGGCAACCGTAAAAGATAAATTTTACTGCTTAATTCAAAGAAAAAAAAATCAAATCATTTTAGGAATATGCAAGTAAAACCGAGATTACGTAATATAGAATCAATCTTTTGTTGTTGCAAAAAAGACCCGAGATAAATCGGAAAAAAGCGAAAGTAGTTTGCTGTCAATTGACATAATTTGATTTGTGCAATTAATTTCTTCCGGAAAATAATAAATCGCCCTAATTGGGAATTTGCAAAGCCTATTTGTTAGATAATCGCGCGGTAATCGCTAGCAAAACGCTTAATTTTTTGAATTTTAAATTGGTACAAACTATTGTTGGATTAAATTATTAAATATTATTTTATAGCTGGAGCACACACATAATATATAAACACACACACTGGCACTAATACATACCAGGAGCTTTTTCTTAACTGCAAGAAATTAAATCTGAATCCGGTGGACGACGATTTGCTTCTGAACGCGACTAAACCCGCAGAGAAAACGCCCGCCACATCGCTGCGAGTTCGAAACGCCGACGCCGGCAGCGAAGAGAGCACCGCACAGCGCAGCGGCAAAAAGTTTGCCATTGTTGTTGCTTTGTGGAACATGGAGAGCGCTTTTCTCGTATATGTATGCGTCTCCAGGGTGCGTTTTCCTTCAATTGTTGTTGCTTTTGATATATTTTTGTTGTTTAGTGACCTTTCACAAGGTTAGAGGCTTAGGTTGTTCCACACTCAGCTGTGGAACGCATGTCCGTCTGTAAAGAGACAAATGGGAAGATGTAAATGAATGTATCAATTATGAAATACATGCATGAATTAAATGTTACCATTGAAAATTTGAATTTAAAATATAATTTATAGTTAAGCTACTTGAGTTGCCAGACTGCGCGAAACCAATGGCTTTTCCTGGGAGTTTTAACATTCTCAGCTGGCGGGCACACTTAAATTTTCTAATTGGTAACTAGAGGTGGCAAAAAATTGATGTTTTCCATTATAGGTTTTCTCGATATCAATTTTTTAAGCCTTGCAGATGTTTTATTTACATTATATCGAAAATTTCTTCTTGTTATTTTTAATATTGTTTAATTAACATTTTAATTCGTTGTTTTACTATTTAATTAATATTAAAGACTTGTAGAAAACAAATTTGTGTTGTTCCACTTCTCGACAAAATGATCTAATTGTACATATTGTCATTTTGTATTTTTTTCTGGGTCTTCTATTTAAATTTTATAAAAGTCGAACTACTATATCATATTGCTGCCACAGAAACGATCGTTAAATATAGAGGTAAATGCAAAACTTGAAAGTAAAAATTTGAATTAGAAAACTATAAATGTTATATTAATAGCTAATGTTAGCCCAAATTTGTATGACATGTACATAAAGTGTTTTATATAGTTAAGTTTTTCTTTCATTTGATTGGATTTGATTAATTTTAAAAATCCATTTTCAAACTGCAAGGGTATTCGGAGTGCCGAAGTCAGCTTCTTGTTTTTTTTCTATATATTTAGCTTATCTTGGTTAAAAATCTAGCTAATACGGCGGCAATTTTGTAGTATGACCGTTTGTTGAAATACATTCATTTTCGGTATTTTATCTTCATTTTCACAACTTCACATATGTTTTAAAACACACGCGGCTGGTCTTTTTGTTTCAAAACAACTAAACGTGAAATTATTTAATTAAAATGAGCAGTAGCAGCACAATTGTGATGCCCGGCGACCGAATCGCGGCCATAGAAGAGGTGGCCAAGAGCAAGCGGGTGATTCTCGGACCGGGACTGCGGCGACTGGACGAAACCGTGGTGGCCACCAAAGCCGGCCCGCTGCGCCACAAGGAACCGAACACATTTTGGGTGGACAACTACCAGCGACGATATGTGCCGGCACGCGGAGATCTAGTCGTGGGCATTGTCAAGGCTAAGGCGGGCGACCAGTTCCGCGTGGACATCGGATCGGCGGACATGGCCTCCATTTCCTATCTCTCCTTCGAGTCGGCCACGAAAAAGAACCGCCCGGATCTCAATCCCGGAGACCTAATCTACGCGCGAGTTCTGGTCGCCAGCGCGGATGTTGAACCGGAACTGGTGTGCGTTAATTCCAATGGAAAGCGCGGTAAACTGGGTATACTCGCCGATGGATTCTTCTTCAAGTGCAGCCTAAATCTGGGCCGATTGCTGCTCCGAGAAAACTGTCCCGCCCTCGCTGCGCTCAAACGGCAATTGCCCTACGAGATTGCTGTGGGCGTAAATGGTAGAATCTGGGTGAAGGCCCAGGCCCTGCGAGAAACAGTTGCCCTGGCCAATTCCATACTTGCTCTAGAGCAGGCCGGCTATGCGGAAATCGACAAGGTCTGTGACAATCTGGACGGCTTTATGGAGCATAGGATTAGTTTCTAAGTTAACTTACATTTATATAAAAAACTAAAGTTGAAATGTGATCTGTTTGAATTTTTAATGTGACTTTCAGTGATGTGTTGTGGTTTTACGTAAAAGCGTTCTTTGTCAGTGATGAGCAGATGGAGGAGCTTATGGCCAAGAAGAGAGGAACCACCTCTCTCTTGGTGTTACAAAAACACAAACTACACGGTATGCTTTCATTTCAACTTTCTCTTTTTCGCAAACTTTTGTTTTTCTGTTAGCTTTCTGTTTGTTTTACAAACTTCACCTGTTGCCCAAGCAGTCCCAGTCACTGTGCCATCTCTGATGTTAGCCCACACAGCTGATCATCTCCCACAAACGTATTGGTTATCAGGCGAAGGCGAGTAGCTGCTGCTTTCAGTCTCTCCGGTTGCGGCATTAAGGGCAAAGGTTTTTCGATCGTATCATTATTGCACGCAAAACACCGATGCAATGACTTTCCTGGAGTTCCTGCTGCTCCTGCTGGTGCTATACTACGTGGTCTATGTGCTCCTGTGGATCCTGCTCGATTGCAATGTGGCGCTGTGGTACAAATCCCGTTTCGGTGTCTCCCTGTGCTCGATGCGCGGCCAGGTGGTTTGGATAACAGGCGCTTCCAGCGGAATTGGTCGATCGCTGGCCTTGAGTCTGGCCAAGCATGGCGTTAAGCTGGTGCTCAGCGCTCGACGAGTGGAGCAACTAGAGCAGGTGCAAGAGGAGTGCCTGGCGGCAGCCAGGGGTCTGCTGGCCACCAAGGATGTGATGATCCTGCCCATGGATATGCTGAAATTGAGCAGCACAAGACCCATCTCTATGCGGTGCTCAATCACTTCGAGAGACTGGATGTCCTGGTGAACAATGCCGGGCGTTCGCAGCGAGCCAGCTGGACGGAGATCGACATCGAGGTGGATCGTGAGCTGTTCGAACTGGATGTATTCGCCGTGGTTCATCTCAGTCGCCTGGTGGTTCGTTACTTTGTGGAACAGAGGGGAGGCCGGGGACACTTGGCCGCCACATCCAGCATAGCGGGCTTCAGTCCGGTCCCATTTTCCGCCACTTATTGCGCGGCCAAACATGCCCTCAACGCCTATCTGCTGTCCCTGAAGGTGGAGATGCGTAAGCTGGACATTAGCATCTTTGCACCGGGTCCCATTGCCACGGACTTCCTGCAGGAGGCCTTCACGGGCTCACAGGGTGGCAAGGTGGGCCTGAGCACCGCCAATCAAAAACGGATGACGGCTGAGAGATGCGGTGAACTCTTCGCCGTGGCCCTGGCCAATAAGATGGATCTCACCTGGTGTGGCCTCTTTCCGGTTAATCTGTTGGCCTATTGCGCCAGGAATCCGACACTGACCAAGATTTTGGGTCACTTTATGACCGAGAAGACGCTGAACAAGATACGTGAGGGCAAACTGTAAAAGATTTTGATTTACGCCTCAACCTCTCCCTGCTCCTAATGGTTCTCGAACAACTTTTATACAATTGTTTGAATATATATTTACAAAAAAAATATATAAATATGTATACAGAAGATTAGGTGCAGTGTGATTATAAAGTGATAGTTGGGAATCTTTTTAAAGTAAGTTTGTTTTGAGGGTAAGCTAACAAAGTATTTTGAATTCAGATTGTGAAAATTAATACAATGTTCTCCACAAACAAACCTAATTGCCACACTCATATCTTTCTAAACAAATTGCAGTTTCTTTATCTTATACCTATCATCTGTAGTATCTAATCTTTTGTTTAATCTTTCTTAAGAGCTTCCTTGACATGGGCCGGAATTTTAATACGTTTTCGTTTCGCCTTGGTCAGTGTGCTCTGCTCTTGTACTCCCTTAAGTGGTGTTTTCGCCTTTTCCTTTTTGCTCTTCTTGCACGACAAAGGATTAGGATTCTTGGGTCCTTTTCGCTTCGGATTGGCAGGAGTTTCTGCTGTTTTCAGGCCTTGTTTCTCTTTCATGTAATCGATTCTGTCGACCTGTTTGCCCAGCATCAAGTTATTGGCACGCTTAAGCACCCACTTCTTGAGGCTTTGGAGGGTGCTTCTAGGACGGGAGTGGCCTTGTGCAGGTACAGCAGACAGCGACCGGGCACCTTGCGTAGACTCTCCTGCAGCAAACGATCCTGAGAGGCCACAATATAGCGGTTGTCCTTGGTCTGAATAAGCGAATATCTTAATAGATATATAATTTTAAGTAATAAATGCTTTTTTTACCATAGACTTGATGCATTCAGCGGCACCCACGGGTTTTCCTTCGTGACCACATTTGTGGACATGGAAACGCTTGACTATGGATGTGGCTCCGGTTAAAGGAGCTCCCAAGGCCTCAGACTCCAGGATGACGCACTGAGTGGTCAGTAATTTAACGCCACATTGAAATACTTCTTTATCTGCTCGTCTATTCCAATTTTGTGCTACAAATTGAGTAATAAAGTACTAGTTTTGGATATTAGATGGCAAATATCTCACCTGCAAGGCAGCCTGGCAAAATGTGGCATCGATTAGCACCTGGTAGGGTTCCCGATAATCAAAGTTTGTGGCGAAAAACACCAGGGTTTTGTGAGATTTTTTAAAACGTGATATTTTCATTGCGATTTAGTTGATTTTCCGTAAAAAATGAAAACAAAACAAAAACAGCGTGCAACTCAACAGTGTTGCCAGTTATGGCTTTTTTTTCGACAAATCTGGCTAACTGTTATAAACAGCGGTAACAGCCTTAGCTTGATATAATTATTATTTAGTTTTTAACTAAGCTTTGCAGAAAATAATAAAAATACATTTTGTGTATAGCTGTGGGTAGTTTATATTTTCTGGAAAACACTGGAACTCGCAAGAAATTTTGTTAACACTTTTAAACGCTAATGTAACGGCGCTGCCAGATTGTTTTTAATTAACATTAGCTCTGTTATTTAACAGTTTTCTTTTGAAATTTCAAACTGTTAACATTTGGCGCCTATTTTGTGGACTTGTAAAGAGAATGCATTTTTCAACCCTCTTCGGACACTTTCACCCTCTTTTCTCCCTGCCGCTGCGTCTATTACGCGAATTGTTTTCGTTTTCTTTTTTTTATAGTTGTTAGTTTCTCTCTCCCTGCATTCGCTGGCGCATCAAGTTGCGCTATTGAAAATTGCTTTGTTTGTTTGGTAGTTTTCCTGCTCAAAAGTTAAAGTTGGATTTTATATTGAAAAAGTGTAAGCAATAAATAATAGTTTTTAGCAAGAGTTGTATCCATGATGGATTAAGTTAAGAAGTGAATAATTTAAGTGTTCAGTGCATTTTGGGGTTATTTATCCTATGGGATATATTGCTGCGTAAATACCATTTGCTTTTTAAGATTCTTGCAATATTAATGTCTTTAGTTTTGTACTTCGGGTTTTTAAAGTCTGACTAAAGTTAAAGTGGCACATTTAAAATTTTCCGACCTTCGTTTTTTACTGGGTTTTCCTTCTTCTTTTTCTATAATCTACTCGATTGGCATTCAATTGATGGATATTTTTTTATTGCTAATCATGCTGATTGGTTTTAGCAGAGGGTCTTGTATTTCAAAATTGTTTTACACTGGGAAAAGTTAAGTTAAGTCGGTACTTTACTGTTTTTCATAATATTTATAATTAGTTTATCCTAATATTTCTTTTAAAAAGACATCTCTAATTAAACTATCCTCAAATCATTTGAAAATAGTTATTTTATTTAAACCAATGTTAGTTATATTTCCCCTAGTGTAAGATAAAGAATATTGGTCAAGTTTGCATATAATGTCATGTCGATAAAGCCGCCAGCAGTGTCAGCTGCTGCAGTATGATCCAGTATTGTTTTTCCTTTGCCTTTTCCAGCCTTAATCTCCGAAGGTTGAGCCATTGACAGACAGTAGCAACAGCAGCTGTCATCATAATGATGGGCTTGGAGGTCAGTTGTGGTGGGTGCAATCACCTCAATCACCGATCTGGGAATGGATCATCATCATCTCCACTTTACGGTATCATTATTGCAGTTTATTCAACTTGATGTTGGATGGTTTAAAGACCAAATTGAAATGACCAAAAGCATATTGATATTCATATGCATATCGGTTTCGTATTCCTTTCGGAGCATGAACACACCTTTCGCTATAGAAAAAAAATTGGCTTTATTATATAGTATGGTCATGTCTTGCGTGTCTCGAATTCTAATTACTCCTTCACACAATTTTTCCATTGTCTTCTTTTCGCTGTTTCCGGTGAGTTTTTCGTGCTTTGTTCGGATTCTTTTCGGTGGGTGAAAAGAAAGTGACGCATAGGCTTTGATAGAGATGAAACATGAGAGTGGGGAAGGTATTATATATCAAGGGTTAAGGGTTAGGATAAATACTGTACTGTATAGAAATTGATTTGTTGGTATGAAGAATAGGACTATTTTGATTACTTTACAATGCTTAGCTACAATAAAGATTTAGTAATTTACAATGCTTGAACTATAAAATCCAATAGAATTATTAATAGTTATATTAAGGAAATTTCAAGCTTAAATTTGAGAATGTACCATGTATTATCTTCAATTTCTCCTATCTTCACCCTTTATATATCATTAAAATCGTTTCATTAATTTGTTTTTATGTTTTTTTTTATGTAACATTATCACTTCCATTCCACAGTTAGTTAAGCATTTATATTTCATAAGCAATTTGGTTATTATCTCATTATTATCCACGGTTCGATAAATTCGAATCCCATAAACTTTTTCCATCTCCCGACAGTGAACTATATATTCCCGTCCGGACTTTAGAGAAGTTAATTCATTCAGTTTCAGTGGTCTACGTTACCATCGTCACGATCATACAATCTGATCATGATCATCAAGCGATCGAGTATACGAGATGGGATCAGACCGAAATTTTAAGTAGCTGGGAGAACACTTCACTTATTCATTCATAGATCCATTCACATTTCGTCTAACGTCACGCTGTTTATTGCAGTGTATGCATGTCAATCAGGCTGAAAGCGGGACTGTGTTGTGTCTGCGCCTTTGAGCCTTAATTAGTTGCCAATTGGTGTAAGCCGATTTGGCTCTGGTTATATATCTTCACATTCATACATACATATATCCATTGTGAGTATGGGTTTATGCTCTCATTAGCAAAACATTTGGCGTCCATAGTGGACTTTTTATAATGCGATTTTATTTTCTTGCGATTTCTGGCCGGGCATTTCGAAAGACTTTCATGTTCCAACTGTTTATTATTATTATTGTTTTGCTTTTGCTTTTTTAATTTCAAATTTCGCTATCAGAGTGAACGTATTGCCCTGAAACTGTTTAGAAAATACTTTTGACGTTGGCGAAAAATAGCTGATCTTGAACCTAGATTGAACTCTTGGGGATTAGTTTTAATGAGAGCTTCGATCCCGTCTGCTCATGTTCTAGAATCGTGTCACCTCTGAGGGCTATCAGGGGGTGTATATATATTTTCTACAATTTCTAACAAATACATTTCCCTTTGAATAAACCCAAATAAAAAGTTGTCATAGAAAAAACGGAAAAAATGCGACACGCGATGTCTAATCAGTTGCCAGACATATTTCCAGCAAGAATCTATAGTCCTATCATTGATCATCATTGTCAACATCATCTACGTGATCATTTTGCTTGCGTATTTAGAAGTGAAATTTGTTTTTAAAACTTAAATGCATAAGCAATCTAGGATTTAACATTTAAATAAGGTATAGAATATATTTAAATTATCTGCAAATGCGTGACTGTAAAATTACAAGCTGCCAATTAGCATAGAGTTCAGATATATAGGTTAGATATAGGAGAATTTATAATAAGAGTCACAAAAAAATCTAGAAACGTGTCTGTAATTTTGCCTAAGCTTAATGGAGATATTTGTAAACAACTGAATCATGGAACTAAAAACGCGTATGAGTTTCCAGTTTGTAAGCATCGACCAAAATGTAAATTAATAGGCCTTAAAATAAATTAATTTGATTCGAAATAAGGTGTAAAATATATCAATCACAAAACATTTAGCTGATAACGTTCTTATTTATTAAACAATGAAATGATATATAATACAAATGAAACACCACCAAATCCGGCAGTAACAACTATTTATAGTGCGACCCCCACTGACTCACGATTCAACTCAAATAAAACTCTTGAGTAAATTGAACATTCATATTTTCTATTCAAAACCCATACAACCGCAAGGGAAAAAAGCGTGACGTTGTGAGTTGGAAATTAAAAATTTAAATTTAATAAAAAGTGTGCTTTGCGCCCAAGAGTCGGTGTCGAGGAAATCCACTTTATTGAGATAAATCATCTGAAGAATACTGAATTGCCATTGAGTAATACTTTTAGCTAATAATATAGCACATTTTCCCCCTTGGCTCAAAGTACGTGGGAATTAAGGCAAATGTTTAATAAATACACAAGTTTTTTTTGGGAGTGAGATATATAAGTTGGTAGCCTAATCACTGGATGCACAAACAACACTCGATCAACAGCATTATCAAATGATAAAAAGTAAAACAACCCACATAATTAGAAGTCGATAAGCAGATAAAATATCTGTATTATCAGTACGACGGAGAGATAGCTCTCTTATTGACTCTGGCAATGTGGAAATTAATTATTCTCAAATGTTAACCTACTGCGCACTTTCCGATAGAGTTCATGAACTCCAGCTCAATAACCACAATTTGTGGCTATAAAATATCATGGGCTTAACCTAATACCTGGTTTGCAGATCACAGTAATTAATGATTAAAGTTTCCGAATGCCTGACCTAATTGTTAGTTATCATAGAACAATGTTTAAACTATGGGGTTTATGGAATTTAAGGTAGGAAATAGGTGCAGTTTGTATTTGATCTTTGACAGATTTGAGTGTACGGAAATTAAGAGATTGTTAAAAGATGCTATAAATAATGTTGTTGATATAACAAATATGGTATAAAAATGATTAATACATAAGCTTTATAATAACATTCAATATATGTCACATATTAACATTTTTATTGAACCTTAACCAGTTTAATGTTTCAGATTTTAATAAATTATAAACCCAAGATGTAAGCATTCCTCGTTAAGTAATTTAATCTAATCCTTATTATACAAATATTTAGACTTGAATCATATATATTTCACTTTATCAGGTATAGGTATATGGTATAGTTCCATAAAGAAGATTTACGGAAAGCCTTGAATAGGCCTTTAATTACTGTTGAATCGCTACTCTAATTAAGCATTTGCTCAACAATTATTTATCTAAAATACCTAACTATATATCAAAGTGACAGTAATTACCATGAAAACCCTAATGCAATTGTTTTCTGTTAACTAAAAGAAAGACCGCAAAGAAACTACAAAATCCAAGCAAATATCGTCATAGGAAAACTTGACTTTGATTTGTGGAAACCACGCAATGGAGCCCCCAAAGCAAGCAAGATTGTTAAGCGAATATAAAAAACCAGAAAGAAAACTGCAGATTTACCCAACCCAGAGAGAGAGAGAGAGAGAGATAGATTGGAGCTAGTGATCTCTCTTACCTGTACGTAATGCTTAACGGGACTAAAAATGGGGGTCAGGGCTGGTATATATGTATGTACATACATATGTACATATGTAAATATGTAACTATGCATTGCAACTGTTGATATATGCAAAAAAAAATACTAGTGGGAAGTGTGGAGAGAGTAAAACTTTCAACTGGTTAATACCATGTTTTAGAATTTATTTATTTAATTCAAGGAAGTAATGATTTGTAAATTAAAGAATTGTGATAAAATCAATAAGAGCCAATTTATTTAAAATTTGTAAGAACACTATGTAAATTTTTATAATACCTAAGATGTATGGGTATAAATGTTTTAAATTAAAAAAAAATAATATTAATCTTTATATGTACATATAGTGTTGAAAGAGTAAAAGGATTCTAATGGTTAATACCCTGGTAATTTAATTTGAGGTAGAAAATTAATGTTTTATAATGAAATGTAATAATAAATAAGGCTTCAAATAAGGGTTTTTATATAGAAAGAATAAGAACATTATGCCAAATTCTTATAATTCTTTAGAGTCAATTGTAAATTGTTTTGAAAAACATAAAATAGTAATATTATATATATGTATATAGTTAAGGGTATAAGTAAATTTATTAGAATCAATGGGAGAAGAGTCTAATTTATTTAAAATTTTATAGTAACATTATGTCACATTATAACACAAAATAGTAATATTTTTTAGGTATATGCAAGTTCTTAAAATTAGAAGAAACTATACCCTATCTTTTGATAGACACCCGGCAAGCTCCACTGCAAGATCCAGGAGAGTTTTCCCCCAACGAGCAGAATGGAGAGCGGAAAGCAAGCCAACAAACAGCTGGCAGCGTCTGAGTCGGGTTAGGAATGAGCTTATAAAAGCCGCCCGGAGAGCGATTCACAGTTTAGTTGATCGACAGCGAGCGTTGCCAGCGGAGGTGCACGTGAAGCTTATACAGAATCGGGGTTTTAACATCGGAACAAGAACATATAGCGAGTGGTATCGGGGTAAATCGAGAATCGATCGAAACACCAGTGCTGTGTCCGAAGCACATTACTTACATACATATATATACCGGGCTATATAGCTCACACACAATTGAAATTAATTCACGCGTCGCTGCCCATCTGCATAAGTTCAATGGAAGCGGCAGGCTGAAGCAACAACAACAGAAAAAAACCAAAAAGCAAAAGGAAAAATGTAAAGAAAGTGCAGCGAAAACGAATTCAAGAAATCAAGAAAATCAAATAACAAAAAACCATTAAAACCGTGCGACGACTATCAATCGCGTGTTCGTTCGTCTGCTTAATGTTAATCAAAGGTTAATCAAAGACACTGCATTTAAACCAATTCACAAAACATCAGCTGCATCATCGAAAATATATATATAAATACAAAATAAGAGCAGCCTTTCCTTTTGTTATTATTATTATGTGCTGTTTTCATTCATGAATTGCGTTCTGTGCCAAAGTTTTTCCCGCTGTCAACGTCTACGTCGCCTCGTCTCAGTTCATGTGCGCACTCGCATTTTACGTCTCAAAAAGAAAAATCCAATATAATTTTAATTCAAGAATAAAATACAAGCTGAGCTTGAGCAACAATATCTAAAACAAGAAGAGCCGAGAAAAAACAACTACATACAAGTCAACAGGTTCGTTAACCACCAAACAGAGACAACCTTTTGACCCAGTGAAAGAGCGGATATTTTCTGCTCAGAAGAACGAGTGAAATGAATAAATAAAGAAAGCTCTTTGGGAGAGAGCTCAAGTGGAGTGAGTCACTCAGAAGAATTCTTCGGAACACAAAGAACACACAGAGAAAGAGAGACAGAGGAACAGAGAGGGAGTGCATTTGGGGTCAACAAAGTAATAAAAAGGAGGGAAAATTAGTTTAAAATATTAAAGAACCTTTGATCTGAAAAAATTTAAAACGATTATTATAAAGACTATATATTTCTTTGTTTATATATATAAAAGTGGTAGTAATATGTTTTAAAATATTTAGGAAATATAGGTAAACCTTTGAGTAATAAGGTTTTAAAATGAAAGTTTATAGGGATCTAAGGATTTTTAAAGGATGTGAAACCGTTTGAACATAGAGGATTTAGAAAAATATTAAGATAAGATCTTGTATCTTAAATCAATAGGATTTAAAAAAAAATTATAAAGATAATCTTTTTCTCAAATATGCCATTTTGATTTAATTAAATCTTCTGCATGTACTTCTTCAATATTATGAAAAGTTTTACAAATTAAATGACGATGAAATGATTCTAACAAAATGGTTAAGAAACTTGTATTTCACCAGCATATTAAATATATGTTTTTATATAAAAACTTAATAAGTAAAATTGCACTGTATTTGTTATGAGGAAGACATTTAATATTTGATATGTTTTAGTTTGATATATTTGCACAATCGTCTTTAAACTTTAATAAACATTAACTAAAACATTTTATAGATTGCATAAAATAATCTAATTTTTTTCGTGTAACATTTTACTACTAATTAATTAATCAATATTTAATTTCTCACATAAACTGAATAATACAATTTTAGTGGTTCTATTTATGGTTTTCTACAACAATTTTGGACCTCAACTTTTTCGATTTACACTTCTCCTTATTATTATTATTATTCAAAAAAAGAATAACAATTTATTGAAATTAATTTAACATAAAACTTCCAAGAACTATAAGAAATAAGACTCAAATTTCACGATTTCCCGCAGTGCCTCTGCAATAGCAGCTGCACATAATTTTGTTTGATTTTCTTAGAAGAAAAGCTTTTGCGTTCTCTCTTTCTTTCTCGATCGTCTTCCCCTCTTGGATTTTCCTCTATTTATGAAACTTGAAACTTTTGAAAATGTAGGCCATCATCGAACTAGAATCTTCTGGATTGATGTTATTTATTGTTTATCACAGCTGATTATGTGATCAGTCTGGATTGCAGCTCTTCTGGTTATATCACTTCGAGCTCATGACTTTTGTGCACTGCATTACAATTTGCTATGCAGGCTCAGTGTTCTGACTTATGGCTGTTTACAGGCTTGGTTAATTTATTCACTTCTATTTCTGATCCGTAATCGGATTGCAATTCGTTTTGGAAACAATTGAGATAATCATTTTTGAATGCGGGATGTTTACTAGCACTTATGTAATTTCAAACTCGTGGGAAAATCAGTTGAGAGTTGAGATAAACGAGATAAACAGTCATTTCTATTACCTTGGCAACAACGTACATGCGAATATAAAGCCCAGGAAAATTTAACTAAATTACTTTGATAATTTTTAATAAAAAGAATAATTTTGTTAAGTTAGAGAAGAAAAATTAAGTTAGTTAGAATAAAAATATTAGGGAGATTGTAGGAATTCTCTAAAATGGAGGTCAAAATGAATTAGATTAAGGTAAAGCTATAGAAAGAAATGTAGAGGTAAAATCGTACAGATATTAAACATAATTTTGAACTAACTTTTCTTATAAATAAACACCTTAATTTATACAAAACGAAATTAAAATATATAACTACTTGATAACAATTAAATTTCCTTATTAAGCAAAGTAACATTAATTGTTTCATTTCAATACAATTAAAATAATTTATTATTTCAATGCAAAGTTATACCTCTTATATTTAATCATTTCAATTAATAGCAACTTGTGAAGAAAAATTAATTAATTTTTTATTTACATGTAAATACCATTAATAGAGTTTTTTTTATATATAAATAATCTATTTATCACATTAAATCAACTTGATTTCCATCCACCTGCTTCTGTACGTGATTGCAGTCATATATTCAATTCAAAAACAGCAAAGCATTAATAAATAATAGCAAAATGGGATCTAATACACCGTAAATGATAAATAAAACCGCATATAGCGGTCATTGGCTGCCTGAACCACTCAAAAATCAAATAAGATAAATAAAAATATAAACAAAATAAAAATATAAAGGCAAAAGAGAAATATAATCAAAACAAAATGTTTATGCCGGCAACTACGACGTTTGTGGGGAGTTCTTCTGTTTGACAGCCTTTAAAGATCGAAATCACGCCCATTTATTCTATGATAAACCCTGATCCCTTGTGTGTACATTTACATGTGTGCCTGTCCACGTGCTGGCCTTGGCGATGTCACTTTTCTTTATCGCAAGGCAACAGCGGTTCTAGGGGTCGTATACGTAATATTTCGTTTTTTTTTCTCCTAAGTTTTACCCTGCTTAGTTTGTTGTGTTTTTTATCGTGGCTGTTGTGTCCGAAACGATCAATTGCCTCATTCTATTGTAGTTTTGTTTCTTATACTTTTATTTTTCCCATTTTGTTTCAACTGAAGTTGTTCATGATTTCACAGTTTCGTGACTTTAATTGAAATGGCAACCGTTTTTCGTTTATGTATATATATTTTTTGCATGTCAGGCCAGAGCCAAAATACCTAAAAATTTGCATTGACTGAGTTATGGAACAAAGTGAAAAATGTCTCAACGACCTTTGGGACGAAAATAAATATACTACCTGGATGATCAGGGTTTCGTTTCGGTGCTTCTGGAGAGACTTTAAGAGAGTGTCATGATCTCATTTTAGTCTTAGTAATTCACAGGGGAGAACAGTATGCGAGTCACGAAATTAAGAAGACTTGAATAATTTAAAAAAATTAAAGCTAGAAATATCTACAAATATTTATATCTGTAAATTTCCATAAACTCTTTTGGAACTTATAAATCAAATCAAGTAAAAGTCTGAGTATTGTCAATGAACTCAGTGTGAGTTACTCATAAATCCCATTCCCCTCATTCGGAATTTATTCAATTTAATATGCATAGACATGCCCAGCAGTGTACATGTATATTAAAATAATTATGTCATACGCCAAACATCATAAATTGCTTGAACTCGGCTCAATCAATGAATATTGTCAACTCTCAATGAAAATGCACTCGAAATGCACCCAAGACAGAACCAGTTGTACTTCTTATTTGTTCAAGTTTTCTAGTTTATTTCATTTTTAGCAATATCACACCTTACAGCTAGGCGTGATCTCTTTTAGCTTTGTCGGCCAATTAAGGTCTGCAAAAAAATAGAGGTAAAAAAAATGATTATGACTATTCACAACTGGTTTTCTTTCAGTTTTTGGCTTGTCATTCGGTTAACAAGCCAGACACAGGCACCAAAACTCTTTACATCAAAGTCAATATCAGTTGACTAACTTGAGACTTGTTTGCCAAACATAAACATAAAAAAACTATGTATAGAGACCGACTGAATTATATTATAATGGAAGAATTGAAGTTATTTGCATACAAAGAATAATTAAAGCCTGCCTAGATACTTGTTCTTGAGTTAAGGATATTTTCTCATTACAAAAACCTTAATTTTAGCAAAGTTCTAGTTCATTTATTTATTTGATCAATATTCTAGACCAGCTCTTGTGTTTATTTAGTTAGTTAGCAGGCTTAAATCTGTTTGGAAAAAACCTGACCTAAGTCAAGGGTATGAGAAATTAGTAAACATTAGCTAATTTAAGAATAATCAATAATAACATTTACCTTCGACGCAGTTCTTTATCAAAACACATTGCGTGAAATGGAGCTTGAACCTGGAATTTGATTTTAATTTTTTTTTTGTTTTACACCTTTCGAAGGGCTATTTTTGCATAATGTCGAGTCATCAAATTAAACAAGAGAAATTCCATAAAAGATGACAAGCAAAAGTTTAGTTTTTTTGTAGGCCAAATAGACCCAACCTTCCATGCATAAATCAAAGTTTAATGTACTCAAAGAGGAATTGTGCAAAAGATAAGAAATCTTTAGTAAAGAAATTGTCTATCCATCAGTAAAAAATATATTTCCACCAAGCTTTTATTATTCACATTACAATAACTTTCTTTGTTCGAAGTATGAAAATCACTTTGTAAAATATTTTAATGACGCATCTGTCAAGTTTTTGCGATAGCCAATGGACGGGCATTAAATGTTGCAATCAGAATGTAAACGCCTACAAAATAAAAAATATTCAATTTTGCTTTCAACAAGTCGTACTTTTTTGGTTAGTTAAGTATCTAGAATAAACGAAGTTTAACGCCCAGATGAACAAACAGGTCGTTGCTACTACAGATCTGGTATTAAAATTTTTTTACTATACTACTACTACTACTACTGGGGAAAACGTTTTAACAGCCCAGTAATTATTAAAGTAAAATGTGATCATAGGGGATATATAATTAATGGGTGAATTTACAAATTATATGGCGGGGAAAAAGGCTTAAATAATAATTTAAAAGCACGTTTAAAAGGGGGATGTTTAACACAGTTAGCGGGGACTATTAGTTATTTTAATATATTATTATTTAATATATTAAATATTTATGTGAAACCCTTCTTCTTTATTTATATTAACTTGCATTTATTAATATTTATTGTGTACGGTCATGAAAGTCTTTCAGAATGCTCATTTTTGATAAGCCTTATCTTCAGTTTTCCTTCTTGGGATGTTGCGCAATTTGCATTGCATTTTAAATGCCATTTTTCTCTTAATTCTTTCAGACTTTAATCCCCATTCCCGGAATATATAAGTGAGTGCAGAAATATGACGCTCTTGCCAGATATCAAGGCCTCGGATGCCTGTTGTGGTGGCGGCGGAAGTAATAGTGATGCCAGCAGCAGTTCCGGTAGCAGCCACAAAAGTCACAATGGTCATGAAAATGGTTGCCTGGGCATCAATTGTTGCACCACAGCGGCCAGCTCGGAATTGTCCATTGATGAGACCTCATCGACTTCCTCCCGAGGATCAGGAGCATTAACCACTAAAGTCACAAATGATTTAAATGGTTTGCCGGACTATCATCAGGCAGTGGCACATGCCAATTTCGATCATTGTGATCCTGTGGATATAGAGTTCTCAGATGTGCGATACACAGTGAGAAAGTTCTCGTTTCCGGAGAGGAAATTTGGTGGGTATTTAGCTAAATAATTTAGTACAGTTCCCATATAATAATTATTATTATTTCTTACAGTAACCAAGGAAATCCTGCATGGCCTTAATGGCAATTTTCGCGCTGGTGAACTTACAGCCATTATGGGTCCCTCGGGTGCGGGAAAAAGCACTTTGCTTAATGTCATGTCCGGCTTTTGGTAAGTCTTTCAATGTTCTTAAACTTGAAAATTTATTTATCCAAGTCAGCACATAATTTTTTGCATTTTTTAATACCGATATTGCTGAGTAAAAAGCTGATTTTAATTACATATCGTGTTCACTTCATGTTTGCATATAAAAGTGCAGACGTTGCAATCATTCAATCAGTCAACACAAAACTCAAATGCCAACAAAGTTTAGCTAAATTGCCAGTTGCACAGACTGCACTACATTATAATCAATTTGTTTAGGGTTTAATTTAATAATAAAAATAGGTCTTTAATTACTGAGGAAATTGACCTGGTTTTAGTATGAAATTTTACATACATTGTTGTACAAATTAAACCGGGTTTTGTTTCGATGAAGCTGTACAAAGTATATATTTTTCTTTCTACAATTTTTCAAGTTTATTTAAATCAAAAATATGACTCACACAATCCACTGATGCCTTTAAATGCTATTAATCTTGGCCTCTTGCTCCGGACATAATCGCATTCACTTCCTCTCAGTTTCAAGATCTTATGCAATGGGCAAAGTAGAACTTTCCGGGATCGCGAATTGAACTAAGATGCACATGTTGTCTATGAGTCAATCCCCTTTTTGATTGATGCAATCTTAATCTGCCGTTTTTGATGGCCATTTGACAGCTATTACAGCATTTCATTTAGTAAATAAAATATATATACACGGACCACGATCTGTTTCAATCTGGAGGAAACAAAAACTTGCAAATTGCTATTTCTTTTTGTAATTATCATACTTAATGTAATGGTTATTTGTGTACCCCCAGAGGCGGTACACGATTTTTCATTGCTAAATGTTATCGGTCAGTAAACTATGAACTTGAATTCCCCTCGTTTCCACACATACATATATTTTAGGGTTCAGTACGTTTGAACCGAGTTCGGTTCACTACTCTGCTCCAGACGCTTATGGAGATTTTATATTTTTTCTCAGTTCATATATATACTTATATAGTATGTATGTAAGTACTCGCACTGAGCTCGTTCACATTGTAATAATTATTTTAATTGCCTGTTTTTGCTGATTTTCTTTTGAGATTTCTTCCACTTATTTTTACTCTTTCCTTTTGTTGTTGTTGTTTTAATTTTCCAACAGCTCTACTGGAGTGTCGGGTAACATACGGGTGAATGGCAAGCCAATGGATCCCAGCTCGGAGAGATTCCGCCAGATGCTGTGCTACATCCATCAGGATGATCTGCTCCGTCCCCAGTTGAAGGTGGGCGAAATAATGCTACTGGCTGCACATCTCAAACTGGGCTTTAAGGTGACCAAGGGATACAAAATGGATTTGGTAAGGAGATATCTTATGAAAAACAATTATTATTTTTTAAAGCAGCTCTATTTACTAAGTTTCTAAGTGTGCAAATAATTTTCCATTTTTTGAACGTTTTGGAATATATTTTTTGGTTATGTGCACTTCAATTTGTATATAAGTTGTTCCTAAAATTGTTTACAATTCCTACAAGTTCAATTTGTTCAAGATTGAGCCAAAATAATATATTAATTATAAATTTAAAGCAGTTAAAGCAAAATGTTGTATATTTATTTATTTTAATCAGTTTATTATTAAGTTATTTGTAGAAAAGCGTTTAGAAAACTGTTTTCGGCTTAACAGACATAAAGGGCGCAAAGTATTATAAATAATAATATTGAAATTTTATAAAATACCTGAATATTAAAATAACACAAGTGAAAATCAATATCTTTGCATATATCTATATATATATATATATATATATATATATAACCTAATATTACTTTCTTATTAAAGAAATGAACTGAATGTGCCTTTACAGATTTGAAAGTTGCACAAATTATTTTAGATGATACATTTCTGACTTAAAATTTAAGCTTATTTGTTTTTTTGTTAGCAAAATCCTATCTTATAAATATGTCTTTCATCTTTGCAGATAAAACACATCTTATCGCTGCTGGGTCTGGACCATCGGTTTAATGTGCACACGGCGAAGCTCTCTGGTGGACAGAAGAAGCGTCTCGCTATTGCCCTGGAGCTGATAAGTAATCCTCCCGTGCTATATCTGGATGAGCCTACGACGTGAGTGACAGTATATAAACAGACTTATGTAATTAGAGTAGCCATGATAATGACGATGATGGTGACGATGAAGTAAACTTTGCCTAGCGGAAATTTAGCGAAATCCACGCCTGACCCACAAGTCAAGTTTGTCCCCGTCTATATGGGCTTTAGGGCTGCTTATCAATTCACAATATATTAGACATTATAATAGTTTAGATTCACTTTGATAGGTTGGGTTCATTGAGCAGGAAACGGAATTCATTTAAATATTCTCTATCACGTTGCTTTTAATGACTGGCTTAGGCTGCAGATTATCTTCCAATTAATTGTTTGTTTGAACATTTTTGCAATTAAGCGAGTTGTTCATCAAGCAAAAATTATTTTAATAGGTTCTAAATGAAAATTATAAAGAGAATAGGTTTAATAAGTGTAATGTTTCGATAATTAAGGGTTTACTGCCCTGTATGATAATTATCTTACACTGTCTGGAGAGGGACTTAGCTGTCTCAAAAGGTTTCCTTTCAACTACAATGACTTTTGTAAAGACCTTTGAGTCACACCTTATTAAAACGCTTCAGAAAGCATCAAGTCATGTAGATATTTTTGTAACAAATAAATTGAGACGGAACAAGAAAGGAAGTTAACTTCGGCACGCCGAAGTCTGTATACCCTACAATATAAATTATATATATTTATTTTAAAAAAGAATAAAGTAATGCCTGCTTTCATTTAAATCACCTATACACTATACACAAAATTCTAGATTAATATATAATGGCATATATCAAATTTGATGAAAATCTGTTGAAAACTGCAAAAAATATAATATTTTCCTTAAATGTTTCCGATCGTTCCTATGGCAGCTATATATATATGTATATATATAGTCCTCCGATTTGCTATGCTCCGACCTATATACTAGTAAAATTATATAGAAGAATAACTCCATAGTTTCATTCAAATAGCTTAAATTTGTTCCAAAACAAATCTTGCACATCTGTGCATATAATTCCCAACTTGTTCAAACATCCCGGACGAAGTGACTTCTGCCGGTCAGTCTTAGAAAGTGTTGTGTTACAAAAGTTGCAAGTCATTGTTTAATAGGTTCAAAGTTAGTAAATGATCATACATACATACATACTTAGTGTCATAGATACTTACTGGTCATAGATACTTACTGTCTTAGATACTTACTGATCATAGTTACTTACTGTTCATAGATACTTAGTGTTCAGAGTTAATTACTGCTCATAGATACTTACTGATCAGAGTTACTTACTGTTCAGAGTTATTTCTGATATCATATTTAATTGCTGATCATAGTAAATTATTGTTCATAGTTTCTTTCTGTTCATAGTAACTTAAGTTGAAAGATACTTACTATTCTCTACATTTAACAACCGTTTCTCTGTTATTTTCTTATTGAAAAGATATATAAATATATTATTTAGATGTAAATATAACTTTGTAGCAAAGAACAGCTTTTTGGCAAATCTCGTTCCATAAATCGTTGACTGTAAGTCAATCTAATCTTTGTAATGCATTGCTTAATGGTTTTTGGTAACAAAAACTCGTTTGTCACTTTCATTTAATTTCATTTCAAGTTCAAGCTTTATCTCACCTATCATTAAAGTTTGAGATTGCCAAAAATAAGTAATGTTCTCTCTGCCTTAGTTGTTTCTCATTGCCATAACAACGTTTAATGATGCTTTTTATTTGTCTACTTTCCAAAGGTTAGGTTAGCAGTAATTAAAAAAAGTTGAATCACATACTCTACAAGTTAAATTTATAATAAAAATCTTTGTTTTTTCTTCTCTTCAGTGGTCTTGATAGCTCCTCTTGCAGTTCCTGTGTGGCTTTGCTGAAGAAACTAGCTTCTCAGGGTCATACGATCGTCTGTACAATCCATCAACCAGTGCCCTGATTTTCGAGATGTTTGATAAACTATATACAGTGGTTGATGGAAATTGCATGTACCAGGACCGGTGAGGGAATAGTACCTTTCCTGGCGACCAGCAACTCATCTGTCCCAGCTACCACAATCCAGCTGATTATTGTAAGTAAAGAGGAGAGTTGCATAACTTTCTTCCAGCTATAATAGTTTATATATATTATATCTATATAATTCCCAACTCATTTGGTTTCCAGTACTCGAAGTGGCCGTGGGTGAGCATCAACGTGATCTGAATGAACTGATCCATGCGGCTAATAAAAAGTATTACGAGGATGTGGATCGCTATCGCTATATGAGCACTACAGATGTGTCACGTCTCGTGGCAACAATCACAGGTAAGTTTACTGATTCTGTTGCCATGCTGTATAGTTATAGGTATATAATGAGCTTGATAGAGTGATTTGATTTCCAGATTCCTTTACAAAGTTGTAGGTATATATGATAATTATTTCACAAACTTGTACTTTTAAACCATATAGTGCAACATTTTCTCTAGATTGTAATGTAGATCTACCCATCGACTTTCTCTAAATTTCCTTTTCACTATCTCCCTCTGAAAAAATTATAGACAAAATTGGCAGCAAGACTCTGAGCAAATCCAGTCAAGAGCTACCAACAGTTGCGCTTGCGCAGTTCTCCAGCTACGATTATGTGAAACCAGCGCCACAGGAGCTGGCGCTGGAGGAGATCAAGGCACTGAGTGGCACTCCGGAAATCACAGCCAAGATCTCAGCCAGAAAAATCAAAGCAGCAGCAGCAACTTGCCAATGTTAATGAGCTTGCCAAGTCTTCAAATGCCTCCAGTTCGGCCTCGTTCTCATGCAGTACCTCCTCCTGATGCAGCGCATCTTGATTTGTGCCAAACGCAATTATGTGAGTATTAAAAAATGTAATTAAGAAATAATTGTAGAATATTTAAGAACCTTGAAACCTTGGTTTAATTATAAAGTGTATTTATTTTAAGAAGTGCTTTAAAAGTATCTAAATATAAATCCTTAGCTGCAATTTGGCTGTTTATATTATATTTACGAATCTTGAAACCTTGGCTTAAATAGTTAGTTAATAGTTCTAAAAGTTTCATTTTAATTGTCTTGAATTGATATAACATTCCCAACTAATATTTAAGTTACCTTTCACCTAGTTCATATATTTTTTAAAGAAGCATTATCTGGAAATGCATATGTCATTCAGTTTTCTTCAAGTACAGATACTTTGACATTAAATGTAATCATTTTAATACACTTATAAGTGGTAACAATTTGTTTTGAAAGCAGGTTTAGGACTGCTGTGACTTAAGAGTTGATGGCCTGCAAGTTGATTTGGTAATGGCCTTTGTGTCCTCCAAAAAAGTGAATCGAGTTATGCCTGATCTTGTTTTCTGCGTAATTCTTAATGGTTTAATCCCCTTAATGGCTGCTTTTTATATTATGTTTAACTTTTTTTTGTGTGTGAGTAATTACGTCTCTGAGAGAGCTCTGCACATTATAATAATTATACATTTTTTTAATTTGGAAGGTTGGTTAATTTGGTCTGTCTACTTGCAACGCTTTCGGATTTTTGCAAAACAAGAAAATGTAAGCTATATAATAGCATGCATTTGGTAGATTTCAAATGGTAATTGCTGAGGGTTTAAAACTTATATAATCTTCGTTTAATCGCAGTTTCATGTAGGGCACAGAGTTTACTTTTTTATCTGTTGAGCTTTGGCATTATAAGTAATTCATATATAATGTTTGGATTTCCACAAAACTTGAGGTAATAACAAAAAAGTTAATTTTCTTTAATAACACTGGTCATAAAAGACAACAAATGTGGCGTAAAATGATATTATTTTTTTCACAACTCAACAATATTTTCCTCAACCGAATGTAAGGTAAATATATTCGTGTTGTAAAGATCTTTGCTTGGACAAATATTTAATTGAATGTGACATTTAATAATTCACACATTACTTTTTTTTCAAATATTTATATTGCCTCTTTAGGCCACTTACAAATTTACACACACTCTCACACACATTTTTATATGATTGAAAAATGTGACTCAGGGCAAAGGCTCAAATGTTTACCAGAATAAATAAATAAATTAACTTGGAAGCCGGCTGCTATGCTATGCCATCGAGATTGATGGCTGACGTTTATCATTTGAATGTCCACAATTAGCACTTGGCATTTGTGTAAAATGTGAAATTGAACAGTTTGTTTGACGACCAATTAGCAAGTTAAGTTGCCTTTTATGCGATTGCACACAATTAATATATGGATCTGCATATACGCTGCACTCGAGTATGGTTTTGAATCTTTTAGCACCTCGATTGCGCTGGGCTCGATACTCGATATTGACTCGGGGGTCAGTCGCGGACGAGATCGAGTATTCAGAATTGAGTATCTCGAGCCACTCGACCGAGTCGTAACTCAAAAAGTAATGCCACAGCACGACCAGCCTTCACATAGATTTTTTCGGTTTTTAGAGTGTGTTCTAATGACCAACATCTCGGACTTCACGAGCATTTTGTTAAATATTGGCTTGCCGGCAGCTGCGAAAGATACATTGTGGTCAAGATAATAATAGTGGGAAATAAGAGATTGCGAACTATAGTCATTTAAAAAGGTAAAATAAACTTATAAATTGATTTTAAAATTTAAAAAAATTTCAGTTGCTTTCTTATATTATAAAAACTATATATAATATATATAATAATAGTATTCATTTAATCCCTAAATGCATCACAGATTTAGTCTGAAATAGCTTCATCAGTGCACTTAATTTGTACTTGGAAATTTTAGTTATTTTGCTATAATTTTATGTTAGAAGGTCAGACTTATTTGACTACTATATAATAGTAAAATCTTTTAAAAAATAGAATACATACTATATATAATAAGAATATAATAATATATTAATATATATTACATTTTTTCCAAAACTTTTTTAATGAATTCACATTGCTAATTTTAGTTGCATATTTTGCAACAACTTTCACTTATGTTACAAATTCAGATTCAAGTTTTAAAAAAGTAAAGCTGTAGTTGCAGGTTTCTATTAATGGTAAAGAAATAAATTGTTTTTATTGATATAACATCTAATTTTAAGGTAAGATAGGATCAAATTAACTAGTAATAATGGAGGAAATGTTTGATATCTTAACTTAAACAAGTACTTAAAATAGTTGTTAAAGAGGTGTTCTTCATTTCACAATTGTAATAATATAGAATTATATTAGATAGAAATAAGGTTTCATTATTGCTTTTAAATATATCTTAAAATGTATTCTAAATGTATTCTAAAATATATCTCTAAAATGTATCCCTGAAATGTATCCCTAAAAGTATCTCTATTTTTTGTATCTTTCTTTCAGTTCCTTCTGCTGGCCCGAATCGTTTCACACATTTTCATTGGCGTCGTCTTTGGATATCTGTACATGAATGTGGGCAACAATGCCCAGAGTGTGCTGGGCAATTACGTATATCTCTATGGCTCAACGCTGCTCTTGGTCTACACTGGCAAAATGGCTGTGGTCTTGACATGTAAGTAGCTGCTTAGTATCTGAAAGATACGAGTACGTACGCACACAAGTACTTCACAACCCCGATGCCTATCCAAGTGGTTCTCGAGTTGTGGTAGTATTTCCAAGTGCCACAACCTCAACCTCCCACTTTTCCATTCGATAATTTCGTTCCATTGGCTGGTCAAAAACACAAAAAATTATGCAAAAATTTGTCGCCAAATTTGGCCAAGACTGTGCAGCTGCCACCGGGGTTCTCGCTGGCAGACCTCTTGTGCAACATTTACTATTTATTTTCGGCTTAACTTCGCTTTGTCTCCCGCATTCTAAATTGTCAACAGTTTGGCCTTTTTGTTTGCTTATTTTGTTGTATTTTTGTTTTGTTTGGAATGCGGATTAGCCAATAATATGTTGGCATTTGCACAAATGTCTTGGGGAGACTTAATTGGCAAAAAGGAAACAAGATTATGAGCTTAGATAGTGGATCATTAGCTGGTCTTAGTCCAAAGATTATGGCTAGAGATTGTGTGCTAACTTAAATGGCTTGCCAAAATATATTTCGAGTAGGTATATAAAATCGTGTTTGAATATTTAAAGGAAATAGAGATCTGTGATGAGGAACTAGAAAGTAATAATAAGTTTGGCATTAAACAACTCTACTTTACACATCTCTTTAAAAATATGAAGTGCAAAATACTGTTCCCCAAAAAACCTTCCAATATTTATATACTATATTTTATATCTCTTCCACATTTATTTAATTAAATTAAACCAAACAATTCAGCACATTAACCTTGCCAGCGAGGCCAAACTTGAATGTGATCATCGCTTAAATATCTTAGTCGAGCCACTTTGTCATTTATAATTTCCATGTAAATGGACTCACAATTAATTTCTCACCTTAAAAAAGACCCCCGAAATTATGGCAATCCTGAAACCTACTGAGTAAATAATTATAAAGATACAAGAGACATAAGACAGACGACCAAGTTTGCTTGAGAGTATTGTATAATAAAACCGGTTGCCAAGCTGTTCTCAAAGCATATTACAATAAATTCATCCAGACAGGAGGCATTGGCGGTGTCGGGGGAGTCTGATCTTTACCGGTTTCGGTTTACTGACCTGACCTAAATATATATGTATATATATATTTAAGTACTGTGTACTGTGTATAGTATGCCCTCACCTTCGTGTGCAAATACTTCGCTTCGTATCGAAATTTTAATGATTTTATCAATTAATTTTATTTGCAGTTCCGCTGGAAATTGACATGTTGACGCGAGAGCACTTCAATCGCTGGTATAAGCTGGGTCCCTACTTCCTCTCATTGATCTCCTTCGAGATACCCTTCCAGGTAAGACTACTGATCAGAACAGAACCCGATGTCAGTGGGATCATTAATCATCATTTAACCCAAAGCCCCACTATAGGTGGCACTGTGGCTTAATGAATTGTCGTTCGTTCGGTCATTACATTAAATTAACGATGTGAAATCGCTGATGTTCGAGTTTCATTTGCGTGACAGAATAGCAGAAGCTTAACCCGCATTTTCTAAAGCAATTGTTTCAATATTCTCTCTCTCTGACATTTGGTGGAGAGAATTTGTCAAAGTTCTCTTGGTGAAGCACACAAAAGTTAATGATTTTGCTGGCTTAAATAATTATGGGAAAGATATAATTGTAAATTTCCTGGAATCTAAGTGAATAGAAATGTGAAAAGAATTTAAAGTTGTTCTGTCACTCTATTACCACTGTGACTTTAAATTAAGCATATAATAAATAACATAACATTATAAACGAAATCGTTATGGATGTTAAACCTTTCAAAATGTTGTCTTAAATTATGGCAGAATAATGTACAATGGTTAAAGTTTGCACTTATACTTAAAAAACATATTTATGATATTAATTCTAAATAAGTGGTTTTTGTGGCACCTCTCATACATGAATGACATGTTTATATTCATTTGATATATAGATTTCCAAAGAATTGATTTAAATATTTTGTCTTAATTTGATCTTAGAAGTCCTACCAAATTTTTAGACCTATAAAAAATACATATACTTTATTTAATTATTTATTAAATTTAAATTACAGAGCCTCTGCACCGCCATGTACATCATAATCAGCGTACATCTAACGGGTAATGATTCTGTGGACTCCTTCCGGATATATTACTTCATACTCCTGGGTATAATGGCCTCATTAAGTGCCCAGCCTGGGGCTTTTTCGTGGGAGCCACGCTGCCGACAAAGGTGGGTTTTACACTCTACAAATTAGTCAGAATATAAATTTTAATAATTAATCATATTTTCAAATTATTCCCACCACAGCTTGCCGTATTTCTGGGACCAATTTTGGCGGTGATGTTTTCAGTTTTTGGATTCTGCACTCGGTACATTGACATCACGCCCCTGTTCCGTTGGATGTGGCATTTGAGTTATTTCCGGGCAGGATTCCATGGAGCACTGAATGCAATCTACGGAATGGATCGACCGTTCTTGGAGTGTCCGGAGAATGCAATGTACTGTCACTTCCGGAGTCCGAAGGTGTTCCTCAAGTACATGATGATATCAGATGTACACATGTCCGATTGCCTGCTCCTCATGGGATTGTGATCGGTGTTATGCATGTGCTAACCATCATTACACTGTGGCACAAGCTCAATAAGCGATAGGATTATACTAAGATTCAGATATAATACCTTTGTACATAGTCGGGTGTCTTTCAATCTCTCCTTGTTTTAAGTTTTAAAGTTTTTTATTAGTTTCCTTTTCTTGTGTGTGTTTTATATTGATCGACCCATATATACGATAATGTGGAAAGTTAGTTTAGGTATTTATTTAAATATTCTCCGAAATATTATTTGTACACACGAAGGCTTTGGGTAGCTTGTACCAGTGTAAGTGCTGATATACCAAAAAACAAAAGTAGAAACAGAATTCCAGCAACTATTTCACATTTTCCCAGTTTTCATCTTGCCATTATCCTTGTACCTTTTCGCCTTTCCTAACTTCATCAATTGTGTTTGGGTTCCGATAACGGATCTGAGCTATGCCAAATCTTGAATATACATCCTAACAGTTCGCAAAACGATACATACATATTTGTGATCAACATTTTGTTTTGTCTCTTTTAATAATTAGTTTTAATTTTATATATTTCTAAGTTCGATTTATGTGTAAGTGGCAGATGATGATTATGTTTAATTTGTGTAGCCAATGTTTTAGATTTTTTACTTTATTGATTTCATAATAAAAAGTTTGGTAAAATTGCAAAGAAGAGGGGTTTCATACGATTTTTATTATGATTTTGTAAGATTTTTGGTAACAAAAAGGTTTATTTTTATCTAACTGGTTACCCTTCTTTTAATTTCAGTTTATCGAATATAAACTTTTAGGCAATTAATTAAAATATTCCTATATAAAGACAAGACGTTCCTAAAATTTGATCGAAGATCATATACGAAAATATTGATCACTTTAAATGACAGTACAAAGCTAAACCGATGTTGGAATATACATTTATGTACAAGAATTAAGAAATAAACTATATTATTATATACCGCCAACTGATTTTAATAATTTGAATATTTTAAAGTAAATTTAATCTCTGACAAGTTAAAACAATTTCTAATCATTTGATTACACCTTTCTAAAACTTTTTCAAAGAAATTAATAACATCTATACTTTAATTACAAATACTTGAAGTTTATTAGTTTTAAAATGCCGATGACATACAAATATAATAAGTTAAATACATGGATGACGGTGAGATACAGGGCCTAAAGGCCTAGAATCTGGTAAATGCTTAAAACCTAAACACAAAAATATATAAAAAATATATATACTGCTCTTCTGGAGTGATTGCACTATAAAAATACACTACATAGTTGACATGCGTGCATAGCGAATGATCTGATCGTGATTAAGAGGGGCATCCGTGGACAACTGTACCCTTTGCCATTGCCGGGACTCGTTGGATTTCCTAATAGCCTCCACCACAGCCTGGACATACAGGCCATCTTCGAATGTGGCCGCCGTGGAGACGGGTGCTTTGACCCAGGAGGATTCCTTGCTTCCGAAGGCTTCCTTGAGAGCTCCTACCATCTTGCAGAGACCCTTGATGTAGGGACGTGGGAGCAAAGAGTTGTTTGTGGCAAAGTGTAGATCCTGGACGTCCACATAGACTGCTTCCTCCTTGGGCTGCCCTTCTTTCAGCACGAATAGATCTCCGCCGCGCACAACTAGGTGTCCCTTGCTGCCATATATGAGGACTTCCTGGGAGAAGGCCTTCGCCGGCACGGTGTGACTGTGCAGAGCGACAGTCACCAGAGTTCCCGTGTTCAGTTCCATCTGGAAATTGCAGAAATCCGGCGCTGTGATCTGCCTAATGCCATTGATAGCTGGCGTGGACTTCGTATATGAACGCAGGACTCCATGTACGCGGATAGCTTGTTGTTGCAGCAGAAAGCTGACCAAGTCTACCACAGATCCCACTAGATTGAGAGCTCCACCGCCCATTTGGGCGTCGCACATCCAATTGTACTTCTCGGGAAACAACGTGCCCATCTGGACACGTACATCCATGAGGACCACGTCGCCGATGGAGCCTATCAGCTCGTCCTGCAGGCAGCGTCGCATGTGCGTGAAGGCGGGCAGAAACCGCAGCGGATGATTCACCAGAGAAATCAGCGTTGGATAATATTGCGAGGCGCGGACCATTTTCAGGGCATCTTGCTGGTGCAGTCCGGCGGGCTTGTCACAGACAACATGCTTACCAATTCCCAGTGCCTTCACCGAGATCTCGGCATGCAGGAACGGTTGGCAGACGATGAACACCAGGTCCACGTCCTTTCGCAGTAGGACATCGTCTATAACGTTTGTATGGAATTGCACATTTTGTGTGGTGGCAGTTTCTTTGGCCTCCTTCAGCGTTCGGCCCCAGATGGCCCGGACCTCGAATCCTTTCTCCCGGAGCAGTGGGACCAGCACGTTGGCTATCTCGCCAGTTCCAAACACTCCAACGCCAGGTAGCATCGCTTAAATGCTTAAAAATTCACAATCTGAGGACAAATTGGGTTTGTTATTATTTTGCCACGGTTGCGGTGTTGCCGGATCGATTGAGCTGCAGGTTTGTCATATAGCACCTAGCTTTTGCTAAAATGGGCCTGCAAATTTATATAGCATGAAGCTTTTGTTACATTGGTCGTAAAATCATTGTGTTTTCTTTTATTAAAAAATTGTTTTGAATGTATTAAAATCTAGAAAAACGATAAAACCACTTACATTTTGCTGGGTGACATGTTGATATTCAAATCTTTCTTCTTCTTCTAAATATTATTATTAACATTTACACATTTCAATTACTCAATCAATGTTGCCACCTAATTTAGATATTATCGGCGGGTAACTTTAAACGCTAACTTCTGGCACAAAGCAGTTCAAATTAATATTTAAAATGTTTCGCCCAAAAACAAAGCAATCGTAATGAAAATCAATAAAAAACAAATCAAAATTCTATTTAGCAACCAAAATAGTAAAATCGGAACACCATGAATTCGATTGCCCGGTGTCTGGCCGCTTTTGCAGCAGGACTCTTCCTTAGCGCACAGACGATGGGGATTTTGAAGAGAGTCAATGAGCAGGAGGGGGCAGCCAAGATCTCCGACCATATGGGCTCGGCAGTGATCGATGAGTCGGAGATAAAGGGTCGAGAGAGCCTGGGATCTGAGCAGATTAGCGATGCCCTGCAGCATATTTTAAATGGCGACCGGAACTCCTGCAGCATATATTTACACGCCAAATACAATAATATTGCAAAGGGACGGAAGTACGCTCTCGGTTCGGAATCTCTCAATCGCATCCTGGAGGATATTATGAATACAGCTGAAAGTCGCAATGAAGTGTCCTTTGACCCTGCCATGGAGATCTGAGATAAGATAATCAATTGGATTGGATTTCTTTATACCTTCGTTATTTAAGTATCTTAATAGAAATAGAAACCATTTAATGCATGCAGGTTTCTTCAGTAATTGATTCAAATTACACAGACATCGCTATAGATTTAAAATCAAACTAAATCATTTCTAAAAGTAAGAAGTAAAATATTTTTATTTAGCCAATAACTTTTTGTAGATATTAATTTGGAACCCAGTGTTCTTGTTGAAATTAAAAGTGACGAAACTTCCTTTAAAGGCCAACTGCTGTCCACCTAATGAACTGGTCTGATCTATTTGGGTCTCCATTTCCAATGTGGTGTACACCAGTTAAACAAGACCCCATTTGTCATTTCCCTCTTTCCAACCCTTTCAGCCATGTGTGTTATTGCAGCTGTCAAAGCAGCCGGTGTGCGGAAAATGATCCTGCAGCTTATTACAAGCTGGTAACTGCGAATACGACGCTCGGTGGAGTGAAGGGGTTATTGATGACACTGACAAAAAAAGTAGGTTACCATAAAAATTAATAATATTGTTTCAAAATTTTAAAATTAAAGCTTGAGAGCTTCAAAAGTTTATAAGAATTTTAAAATCCTTGAAATATTTTTTAAAAGTATGCAATAAAATATTTAAGTTCCTCTTGCAGGGTATTATAATTTTAGTCATTAAGTTTTTAAGTAAAGATATTCCTGATCAGCATCAAGCGCTCTCTCCCTCTCTCGCTGTTCTTCTCTCTCTTACTCTCTCCATCTCTTTTTATCCGGTACGTCTAACTCCCGCTGTGCATCTCTGGAGTTTACGCTGTACGTCGCTCTGCCTTTCTCTTACTCTCTCGCTCTCTCACTTTCTCTATTCTCTTGAGGCGGGAACTATAAATAGAGGCACTTCGTTCGCCGCGACCTTAGTATGTGCGTGGCCTTCCTAGTGATAACATCGACCTCTAAAATATCTTCTGGCCAAGGGAATACAACTGGATAACCAGAAAAAGATGTTCGATAACATGATTATAAGTCTACCCTGGAAGGAAGTAAGCAATAACGATAAAGGAAGTTCTCTACTGCAGTAAGTCTTAATCATTACAATTATATCATATACATATATAGATGCTAGTATTCAGCAGTGCTACCTAACCATTTATTTTTAAATTAATTTCCTTATTGTCATAGATTCCACTACTTAGGTCTCCTATATCATTTAGCTGGCATACAACCGATCGATATAGACCTGTGTAGTAGTATAAGGAAATCCTTGTGATCTCTGTAGAATATGTGAACTATATATTTGTATATACCTATATATTTATTTTATTGTATTGTTTAATAGATTTTATTCATATATTCAGCTCAATTTTCATTCTGAGTGCACAAGCCCGCTGTTCATTTCAGTGAGCTTGGCGGGACGAAGGATATGGGCGGCGGTGGACATAATGCAAGCATTGGCAAGCCATGGCAAACAAATGTCACAGTCGACGCAGTGCCCTGTCATATGGTAACCCAATTAGTGTAATTTGGTTTAAGGCAGCTGCTCACACACACATACCACACACACACTTTGCTTTCCATCTGCCGTGCTTTAATTAAACCACAAAGTGCACAGCACCAGGACCAGCAGGCGGCAAACAAACGGCTTTAAAGGAAAGCCGGAGGCTTCAGCAAACAGCTAATGAATGTTGCTCTCTTAGTGCCCACAGGGCATAAGTTATTGCCACTAAGTTATGGTTGCCATCAAAGGTGCCACCGAAGGGGTTGATGCCCTCAAAAGGGATGGAGAAGAGTGGCCTTGTGAAATTTACTCAAGGTGCAGAGATGCAATTATTGCAGCAACTGCAGGATTTAATGGGTTTGCAGTATCTAATTAAGAATTCCCATGAATCAAGAAACCAAAACTAAAATTGGGGCAATTCAATTAAGATAAAACAGAGACGGACATCGGCAAACACTTGCCTTAATTGAAAACTATATGTTAATGGGCCCCTTTTTGGATATCAATGACTGTGATCCCGGCTTAGTTTCTCTCCGACCACAAACAGCAAAACCTTTCTGTAACCAGACATTAATCACATTTAAGCCAAATTAATACTAAATGCAGGAGGCGGCAGACCACACCGAAAATGTCTGGAATTGTGGAAGGCAGGACAACTAAACATTTAATAAGCCAAAAACAAGCGGACGTCGACGCCATTGTACGTGACCTCATCTCGAGGTCTGATGCTCCGGCGGAGGCTGTGCCTCAGACAGGGAACGAGACTGGGACTCGAATGAATCAGACCGCACATAGATCTCTGTCAGAGGCATTAGCATTAGCAGCGGAACACGGAGGACGACCAGCCAGCCAAAGATAGTTCATCAAAACTGACAAGCCCATTTCGCTGCTGGGAGTCGCAGTTTGCTTTGTCTCTATACACTTGGAGAAAACTGTTGAGAGTTTGCACAGTTTCCCAGAGAAATTCTAATAAACCACGAATTCAAGGATAACTAATTTAGTCTCTATTTTTATGATACATTTCAATTATTTCAGGCTTTATTTCACTTGATATACAAACCAAACATTTCCCCGTAGTATAAGTTTATTTATAAACTATACGGTATATAATAAGAATCTCCACTTAAATTCCTAATTATTTTTCTGCAAGTGTAGCTATGCTAGAAGCCGGCTATGTGTATCCACGACATACTATAACAAAACTGCTGGAAAAGCTTCGCTCCACTAGCCAACGCCTTACTCCACCCACTTGAACCAGAAGAACCACGGCCAACAGATGAGAAATATTCATCAGCATTTACGTCACGCAGCGTGCAAAAGTCGCCGGGGAAGGATATGGCACAGGACAGGACGGTACAGGACACGAGGGGAGAGTGGCAGCCCTGGCACACTGGCTGTCAGTAGATTTATGTTGACATTTCAATGACAGTTGTGAAAATGCTTCCATTTTATGTGTGACTGTGGCCGCAACGTTCGCGTTTCATCTTAAATTTTCGCAAATTGGTTTATCACAGCAATGGCAGCTTAAATTATTTCCAATCACGTATCACTCACGAATTGGGGAAAGGATATGTCGCGGCAGTCACGCGGATGTCACGATCCTGGCGGGCAAATAAGCAAGGCACACGCACTACTCTTGAATTTATGGTGAACAAGTCGTTTTCTCGATTGGTAAATTGTTATGGAGTTCTATAGGGAGTTGGAATTATCCTTAAATACCTTACCTTACCTTAAATACCTTACCTTGGAAAGCAAAGTTTTAATTTATTTCTTATAGAGCCAAGCAGGTATTCTTCACATACCTTCAGGTGCCTAGAGTTCAGTCTGACGTTCTAAAATCCAACATGTGAATAAAAAATATATGCATTTTATATACTTCTTTCCCTTAATTTAAAGGGGTCTTTTGAATTGATTATTAATAAAAGATTTCCATTCACTTTGCATGTGAATTAAACGCGAATAAATATTCTCCAGGGAATAAGCCGTGGAGGGTAATCAAGAGATGTAAATTAATCATTAATAAATATTGAATAAATATGTAATCCAGTTGAATAAATAATAATAAAATTGAACAAATGATGAACATATTATGCCTATTAACAATTATGAATATTCCAGCTTCTGATTTGAATAATAGTAAAATGAATATAAAGCAGAAAGCTGTATTTTTCATTACTAATCAACCAAATTACTCTTCCTATCTCCATTACAATAATCAATCAAATCTACTAAATAAAGCATATACTCTCATAACAATTAATTGAAAATAAAACCCCAAGGTACGACATATATATCACATGACAAAACATAGCTTGGGGATATTCACTGAATTTACCAACTCATACTTTCGGTAGTCAAAAACAAATTGCTTGCGTGCCAGCCATCAATTTTTATTAACTTGATTAAGTGCTTTATGGCAGGCGTTGGGGATTTCTGGTTATGCAACAAGTTATTAGCAACGGAATGGAAATGCCAAGTGGCATGGAGGAGGAGGTGGCAGCCACATCCTTCCATGGGGATCCCAGTGACAGCAGCTTCCGGATTCGCTTGCCTCTACTACAGCTGGTGTCAAGGAATAATATTTGCATTGTTGTAACCAAAAGGGGTGGCCCGACTTAAGTGGGCCAAAAGGGGGTTTTCCAAGAGGGTAAGGTCCCGAGCTGGGTTTTGGGTGGTTTTTCGGAAGGCGGATGCTTCTCAATGTTCAGCATTTCAATAAGCTAAAGCCAGCCGAGGTTAAAGATGGTTATGGGGGGAATTTCATTAAGCAAATAACATGAAGTTATGAAGCAGTTACCTTCATAGTCAACTGCCAGAAGGAAATTCCATGGATCTTGTTCATTTTACTTACCATTTTTTATTCAGCTTTAAGATTAAGTTACTCTATTATGTAAGGATTCTACAGCAGCCTGGCTTTCAAACTAAACAAATTTAGACTCAATTTTCAAAAACCATTTCCCCAAATTCAGCTCCATTAAATAATTACAAAAGAGTGAGGGGAAATAATCCACATTTTAAAGTACATAGTGTCCTAAATTCCATGTACTTGCATACACAAACAAATCAGTACAAGAAATTTCACAGTTGAAGGGACTTTGGACTGTCTGTACGAATTCCATTAGCAAGGATTCTCGTCCTGCATATGAAGTTGTTAAGGAAAATTGCACACAAAATCAAGCATTTGCATACATATAATAGATATATAAATAAAGCTGGAAATAAAGCTGGCCACTTCCCTTAATTAAGCTTCAAGGTGGGATATACCACAGCTTAATTCTGTGTACGGAGCAAGGATGCACTGCACTAATTGAAACATATGTATATGTTTACTCACAGCAGTGCTCATCAGAATGGGAATTAATTTTACTATACTGTAGTTAAATAAATTTTAAAACATAATAATACAAGCAGATATCCATAATTAATTCTGCTTTAAATATTATATTGTTATAAATTGTACATATATTTATTATGACATCAGTTCCTTCCCTATTATTTTCTCAGCAATTTTACTTCACCGAATGTCGCACAGTCCCATATAAAATGTAATTCACAAATGAAGATTTATGTTTCACTCACTCTCCGTTTGCTGTTTTCGTTTGTCTGGACATAAATCAATGCATCCTGCCACAAGTTGAACATCCTGGCACCCGGGTTTCTCCTCAAACTGCAAATTGTGAGCTTTGCATTTAAAGTGCATCATTTGACATTTGTGTGCGTTGGTTTTAATTGTGCGTATGACATGAGCATAAGGTTGCAATTCCCTTCATTTGGTGAGCAAATTGGTATTATAATTACATTGTGCTCACCTGTTAACAATTAGTTGAGTGACCCAAGATAACATTAAGCTGGAAAATTATAGCTCATTTTATGTACAATGATGTGTTGCATTTGTATATATTTTTTAAATACTTTATTTCTTGTATTCAGTTTACAGATTAATAAAAACATTTGTGGTACCATTTGTAATGAAAGAAAACTGAAATCTATCTCTTTATTTTGGGTTTCTCATGTTTTATTTGTGGTTTTTCCTTTGTTAATTGTACATATCAATTCGTTGGAAATGTACACATGGCACTATCACACTATCTGTCATAAGTTGTAGCCAGAAAAAAACTCCTTGGATGGCCATCAATCAACGCTTGTCTCTCCCTGCGGGAGGGAAATGGATTTCCAGAAGGATAACTCACTTAATCTCTACTAGACTTACATGGTTTAATTCCTTAACTTGATTTCCGGGTAAATGGGATTGCCACATATCCAGGAAATGTTTCTGTTGACCTCGCTGCCAGCTGAGGACTTTGACGCGGTTCAAGGAGGTCAGACGCAGTTGCTCGCGAATGGATACTTCCGGCAACGGCTGACTTAGGTCAGGGAAATCCTTTAAATCTAATTCTACACTAGGAATCTATAAAATAATACACAAAAATAAGGAATTACATAAATATTAATACACCTCTCACCTTAATCTTTGGGGTTTGGATTCCATTAAAGTCCAACGAGATGTTTCCTTCAAGGTGGAACTCCTCTTTGGACAATAGGTAATTCTCGGTAAAACTCATATCCACATAATACTCCATTTTAGCGGCAAGTGATTAAACCAGATTCTTTATTTTTTCTGGACTGTAAATCCAAAGCCTGCTGAGAGTGGTAAATTAATCGGAGATGCCAGGCAAAAAACATGTCCATCAATCCCAAAACAAATTGGCAAGGATACCGTCGAGTGCAGCTAAAAGCCTTTTCACCTTCGAAATATCCTCGGACCAAGGGCCCTCGATTATTTATGTACTAAATGCAGATAAAGTTTCGTTTTTAGGGTCTCTTCTAACCGCTGGAATCCGAACCCTGTTTCTATGCACTTTTGCCTGGCGGAGTCGAAAAATAAAATTTATTTACAGTTTTCCCCCGGCCGGAAAAACGAACCGAAAAGCGGAAGCCAGCCTGTGGGCGGGGATTTTAAAGGGGGAGTCACGTTCTGTGCGAAAATGGAAATGGTTCGGAATTTACGGCAAAATACAAAGTACTGCAAAAAAAAAAGAGAAATACCAAAGCCCTAATCGTAGTGAAAGTCCTGCTCTATTATTTTCCCCAACCTTTTTTTTTTTTATTTGCTGGTCTGTAGGCCTAATGAAATTTTCGTTTTATGGCAAGTGCAACCGGGTAAATTGCAGGTGAAAGCTTTTCCCCGGGACCCAGTCACTCAGGGTTGTATTTCGAAAAATCTCATTTTTTTGTGGGTACTTTAATTTGAGTGGTGTTCGAAATGGTAAGGTGGGTTCTCCTATCATAAATAAACAAAAGGTTGTAAACCATCTGATATTCCAGCCGTAACCAAAAAGAGGTCCTGTCCCTTATATCCTTTTGCCTTTTGAATTTTATTGCCATCTCTGGTTTTTTTGTGTCCCTTGCATATCCGGTGTGTAAGTTTATTTGTCTGCAAGAAGTAAAAATAGCAGCAGGTTATCCTGCGGTCCAAAAACTCAGCTTGAAAGGCGGTCAAAATTAACAAAAAAAAATAAATGGGAAAGCCTTACAGTAGGCCTTGTGCCTTTCCCTTTTTGTTTAAAAATAATTACTAGCAATCATAGCAAATAACCTCAACCAGTTGTAGGAGCTAGATAACTCGGAAGGAGATTTTATTTCATTTCAAATTACACTAGAAACAGATTTTTCATATTTCGATATAAACAAAAATGCTACCTTCTGCAACAAAAATTGAGGTTTTCCCGGATGACGGTCTGGAAGTCAATGAAGACATCATTTTCCTTATCCTGGCCATGTTTCGCAAGTTTAAGACTCAGGATCAGAATCTCTCAGTGCCACAGTCGACTCTGCCAGTGCCATTATTCTCGGACAGGGTCTTCTTTCGTCCACTGAGAAGCTCTCATATGCAAAAGGAGTTTGTGAAGTATCAGTCTATTCAGAAGTCAAAGGGTATGAAATGTTCTTTGAAAAAGCTGCCCCTACCTGACAAGGTCCAGTACTTGGTTCTAAAAGGCAGATGGTCGCCGATATTTAAAATTGCCATGTGCCTGAGTGGATAATACCCAGTAACTCACATATATCTTAACTGTCAGGAAGGATATCAATGAATTTTAGTGAAATAGTCGGAATATTTGTAAAACACTTGTAAGATTCCTATTCTAATAAGCATTGTACAATGATTTAAAGGAGAATATATAATCAGATTTTCTTGGGAATACCCAGATATTATGCAGAAAATAAATTAATTTGTTTTTAATTATTTTTAACAAATTCCTTCGTTATTTTGTAAGCATTCCCACTGTGTCTGGTAACAATGGAAAGTTCAACTAACCATGACTTTGGAGGGCTGGCAAAATGCATCTGTCTCTGCACAATCTGAATACATTAAGTTTCAACTTTAACCCCACTAACGCAGGTGTGACTTACGTCCTTCCCAAGAGCCATTATCCCCCTTTTTGCCTCAGAACAACACACTAAACCAAAACCCACCAACAAGTCAACAAAATTTGTTGTGTCCCGAGTTTTAGTTAGTTTCTATTTTTCGCTTTTGTCAACGCTTTTTAACTTTTCCTGTCACTTGTTATTTTTTTTTGGTTTCGGCCACGTTTTAATTTCATATTTTATGCAGAGAAAGAGCCTGGAGCCTGGGGTTCAAGCTTGTTCTATAATGAAGCCAGCTTCTTGTAGCGGCTAAGCAGCAAAATATGACAAAATGTTGAGCCAGCGGGGCATATTTTAAGCCTTCCTTTAGAGCTTCGCAGTTGCCACAAAAAACACTAAAGAAAATATGGGGTTAGTTTGAATTTAAGAGAGTTTATTTATTAGAGATTTGGTAGAAACTTAAATCTATCTATACTGAATTCTATAAACTCTTTGGTTGTTAGTTTAAATACATTGAAGAACTAAAGTTATACTAAATTAATAACCCTTTTTATAATTTTTTATAAATGATGAAAATATTTTAAACATTTTTATTTAAGTGCTTCACCCATCACAGTTTCCTCCTCTTGGAACTCCCGAAAATTTTCCGCTTGCTGACAGCGGAAAATGTCACAAAATGTTGGCGGCAGCGGCGCTGACTTTTCTGCATGAGTCTGCTATTTTATTTTATTTTGATTTTTTTATTTTGAAACATTTTCTCTTTCTCTCTCTGACGACGACTATGACTACTATCGCATTCATATTTTTGGTCTTTTACGACTTTTCATAATCTTTATGGGCGGGCGGACATTTTGTGGGGGTTGGGGGCGTGGCTCAGCTCTTTTTTACAGCTCAAGGAGTTACGATGCTTATGAGTGCAATTTAAATTCAAAAGCCGCTTAAATTTATTTCAAGCCTTGGCTTCCTGCACTCACTTAAGTCAATTTTTGTGTTACAAATTTTACATTTATGACAAGCAATTTAACTTTTGCCTAATTGTGCGACATGCAAAATTGCAAGTTAACTTCCATGGGGTATCTTTGCCCCTTAACCCTTTCTCTCTCCTATCCCTTCGCTGTCATCTCTCCATCTGCAGGATGCCCGAAGTTGTGTGTCCTGATGGTTCATTAAATGTAACTTTTGCCTCTGCCGGAAAAAGGCGGCGCAACGCAGCGGGGCAATGAAAACTTTTTGTTCCACGATGTCGGCAGGGAAAACTATCTAGTGAGGGGAATCCCGGCTCAGGCTCAACTCCTGGGGAGGGTTAGCCAAAAGAATGGCTCATTAGGATAGTGCGGGAGGAACTTATTGGATTAGTTGTGCCCTCCGATAGACCTCGGGGCTCTGAAAGTTGATTTTCTGTGATGCGATGCTCGCTCTGTCTTGGGGGAGGGAAATATTGACATATCCTAGAGGATTTTCTAAAAAGAAAAAGCTAACACAGATGGGAAAAATCTGTGCAGATTTTCAGAAGAAAAAAATAATAGCGATAAAGTAAGCCAGACTAGTTTAAAGGGGAATTTAAAATACATAGTTTAAATTTATAAAAAAAAACAAAATATACTTTTGATTTTCCTTACATTAAAACCCATATTTCCATATTTGTATTAACTCTATCGAATTACAAATTTAATATATATATTTTTGCCAATTCACAGTTCTCAAAAACAATAATAAGCATATTTAAGTTTAACAAGTTTGCAGATAAACATTTTCACAACTAAAAGTTTTTCCACTTTTTCCAGAACAATTTTCTACCCCCTCCTTTTCGCACCCATTTATTTATGAATATTTGAATGCTTCGTAAAAAACAAAATAATATCAACTTTGTGAACAAGTTCATAGTTTTGCCTGAAAGTTCCACTCAACTTAAAGACAACTTAAAAAGTTTGAAACCCGGGCTAATCTCATTGGCGAAACTTAAGTTTGTCTATCCGCCAATTAGCAAAAAGCAAGATTTTCATTTCGCATGCAAGTGAAGATGTCAAAGTCTCGGTCGGGAAAATGGGGTGAAGATTTTTCCGGCTGCGTTAAGATGCTGCGCTTCAAGTGCTCGAAGCGTCGAAGCGGATCGACTATTGCCTTAATTTCTCCCCACGGTCTCTTTAGTGCTCAAAGTGCCGAGAAAGGAGGAAAGCGTGAGCTCCTGGAAAATGCTTTCCCGCTTGGCGAAAAAGGGGATTTGCATTACAAACTCCATTTTTGAAGTTGCATAAACTGATTTATTTAGCGACTTCACTTATGCGCCACTCAGCGTTAGCTGAAAATCCCTTCTTGCCAGTAAAAGCCTGGAAAAATAAACGCGGAATTAATTTCGTTAGCTTTTAATATGCACAAAGGATTAAACGAAATGCTTTTTGCTAAGAGGGAAAAGGGAAAAAAGGATATTTATCAATGCATGATGTACGAAAAAGGATTTTACCATTCGCAGTATGATAAAAAAACGTGTATATATGGGGAGTTGCTAAGCCGAAAAGTTTAGGAAAAATATATAGTAAAAAGAGTCTTCAAATTGAAATGAATCTTCACAGACTTTTATAGTTTTATTTTCACAAATTCTTTGCAAGCTAATAATAAAAATCTAAAAAGAACAAAGGTATCTAACCAATTTTTAATGCTTCAAAATTTGATATAAAATTTAATGTATATTAATAACAAATGCTGTTCAAAAATTAACATCACATTTTCCTTATCTTGACCAAACAATTTAAACCGATTGCAAAACTCAACGTTCTAGCCAAGTTTTCTTGCTGACGACATTTTTCGAGCCACAACATGTTGGCAGAAACCAAAGTTTTCCTGAAGTTAAAGTTTGTCTTGGCAGGACAGACCGCAGCAGCAGCCATCCGACTTGGAGTCCCTGTCTGTGGCCATGTGGCACTTGCTATATACCCCTACCCCTGACCTCTGACCTCGGGCCCAAGTGGAGGCGTAATTTAAAAGCTGGCCGGGCAGAGACAAGACAAGGCAAGACTAGAGGCTTGCATGAGTTGGCAACTGTAGTTTACCATTTTTATTTAGCCATCATTTGCCTTTATGACTGCTGTGGTAATCTTGTCGAGGATGTTCTGAAATTCCACCATGATTTGGCCATTTTATCGAGTTCATTGCGAAGTTCTTGAAAACTTTGTGCAAGTGTTGCAGTTTTTACTGACTTCGTTTGTGGGCCAGGTTTTTTCTTTTCGGGGGCCAAGTTAATGA